ATAAAAGTATCTCGAAGCGGTAGTTTTTGTTGAATTTTATTTTACTCATATTCATGGCGCTATCATTCAACTTACTCGTGACGATATTTTTTTTCTGATGTTACAATTTTGTTGTTACGATTTGTTGTTGTTATGATTTTGTTGTTGTTTTTGCTATGACTTTTTGTTGTTATGATTTTGTTGTGGTTATGATTTTTTGTTGTTATGATTTTTGTTGTTGTTGTGGTTGTTGTTATGATTGTGTTGTTGTTATGATTTTGAAAATATTGTTTTTTTGTTGTCTTGCTTCATAAATGTTCGGCTCAGATAAGAGTCGTAATGCACGAAACGTTATTCATAAGAGCACCTCGAGAGTGCAAATGAAACATTTTGTACTCCTGCAAATAAATCACAAACATTTTATAACAAGAATATTTCTGCTGCCACTGCTGGTGAGGTTGTTTTGGTTGTGGCTTTTGCTGTTGCTGTCTGTTGTTGAATCTTTTTACTTTATTTCAAGCCGTTGTTGGCAATGTTGAAATGTTGTTTATTTTCATTTTATTAGGGTATCTCCTTGTTTAAACTGATATATTAAAAGAAATTCAAAATTGTTGACGATGAAGTTTCGGAAGCTACTACCACGTCCACACAATTGATTTTTTTCCATTGCCTACCTTTTCCTTACGTTAAATATTTTTTTCTTGTTGGCAATCAGTTTGTCAAATTTTAAAAATCCGGTTTGAGTTATTAGCAGCATCTGTTTCGGTTGTTTTGTTGTTGGTTCCCTGTTTTGTTGTGTTGTTTGATTATTTTGTGTGTGATGTTGTTGTGTGTTGTTATTACTTCATGCTATCTAGAGTTTTGATTGATGAATTTGTCAATTTTTGTAATCCTGTCTTACGTGGGTGACAAAAACAACAACATTGAAAAAACTGCAACAACATCTAGCAAACAACAACAACAAACAACAACAACATCCAACAAACAACAACATCCAACAAACAACAACATCCAACAAACAACAACAGTAAAAACAACAACAGTAACAACAACAACAGTAACAACAAAAACATCCAACATTCATTAACAACAAAGCCACCCAACGAACAACAGCAACAACAACACCCAACAACTAAAACAACTAAAACAAATAAGACACGCCACATAGACAAAATTTTCATTTGTCACGACGACGCATGTTGTTGTTGCTGTCACGAAACTAAATTTCACATAAACAACAACTAACACTTTTCACGTAATATTTATTTGTTTATTTTATTATTTACATACATTTATTTATTCATTTATTTTACGCGCTTATTTATTTTTATTTAATTATTAATTTATCAGGGTTAATTGAAGCCACATTCCAGACTAAGAATTATTTTGTTGTTGCCAGCAGTTTATATCGACGTTAATTTGTTGGTTGGTGTTGATGTCGTTGCTGTCGTTGTTGTTCTTGTTGTTTGTATGTTTTTTTTATTGTTTTTGTTTTTTCAATTTTCACGCGTCCCTCCTTATCGAGGCATTGTTACCTCGCGTCAATGGCGTTGGATCGTGTGACCTGCCCAACATTTAACCTGCTAGTTGCCTATGCGTGTTTGTCTTCCTCCCACGTCAGCAGCGTTTGATGATTTTAATTAGTATTACGTTAAATTTTCTTGTCTATGCGTTCAAGTTTTTATTTGACTGTCTATCTGCTTTTGTTTCTTGGATGTTTTTATACGATCTATGAATGCTCGTTGTCATGTTTTAGAGCTATATGTTTATACATGCTTAAATAATAAATCTCTTTAAAAGTTTATGCATTTGCTGTTGAATTTTGATGCAAACATGGAGAATATTTGTGATTGGTTGAGGCACACAGATGCAAGCAAGCAGAGAAATCACGGTGGGATGATGTTGAGATAATTCTGGAGTAATAGTCGAATTGGGATGTTGGTGGGATGATAGTTGCATGAAGATTTGTAGCCATCACGTCCGCCTCCAATGGAACGAGGTTCTTTCTTTATTTCCAATGGGATGGCTGGCTGGCTGGCTGGCTAATTGTCCTGAGTGCTTTCTATTATTTTTTACAAACAACCACAAAAATGTTTGTTGTCTGGTTGTGTTGTTGTTGTTTCACTCACTGTCCCCATAGTTAGTTAGTGAGTTCGCTGGAATGGATGTGTAGCAATTTTTCAACTGCATGGTCCGTGATCATAATTATTAGTTTATATCTTTTATGCTCTTTTCAATTATGTCTTATGAATCGATTATGATGTTTGTATAATGTGCATGAATGATGATTTCCAATATATTCTTGTTAGCATTTTTATGAACAGCACTGCATCACAATTTAAAAGATGGAGCATGATCTGGCACGGAGCATCGTGTTGATTGATTGAACTCTTCACTCTTATTTATTGACCGCGTCCAATTCTGTCTGGTCCCTTCTGTCTATGTTTATGTTCAGTCTACATGTTTATGTCATGTGTATGTTAATGTTCTGCTTATGTTAATGCTCTCTTTATGTTAATGTGATGTTAATGTGATGTTAATGTTCTGGTTATGTTAATATTCTGATTACACCAATAAAGTTATAACAAATATTTAAATATGCATTAATCCAACAGCACATTGTATGCTGGGCGAAAAAAAGAGTCAGATATTTTGAATTTCAAGTGGTTAACACGGTGCAGAAGTAGCGGAGATCAAGAGTTGTTTTAATACTGAATGATAACTTTCTCGTTCATGTCATTTAATTCAATTTCACTCAATAAAATTGCAAATAAAACATTATGCATGTTACTTAATTAATTTAAAAATTCGATCAGTTTTTTGAACTTTGGTTTTATAAGAAAATTTTCCGTAAATTCGACATTTTTAACAAGAAAAAATTTCTTTAATGGAATAAAAGACAATAATTGTGCAATTATACAGACAATGTACGTATACAATGTACATACAAAGCAACAAAATGTACATAATATGTACGTGTATTTTATCGTGTTGTATGTATGTACGACGCACTTTCATAGGAAGTGAACGCTGTTACGTTGCTACGCATTTTGCAGCTCATTCCAACGTTCTCCCTGATGTGTTGTAAAAATGTTTCGCTTGAACTTAATAAATTAATTCCGTTAAACTAGATATGTTTTCTTCATTTTTCTCTTTTTCTTTATTTTCTCACTCTCTCGAATTTCTTCTTTCTCCTTGTCAAGGAACGAAAAAAACTGTTTGTTAGCATAATACCATTGAAGCAATGCGCTTATATTTTGTGTGAGAGAAGTTTACACAGTTTTTAAACATTATCTGATTAAATTTTCACGTTTTTGTTTTGCTTTTTTATTAACAGAGTCTTTCAAATTATTGCTCACTAGGTTTTTTCTGAATGTCGGTTGAAAATATGTCTCGGAGCAATGAACTGCGACACGAACACACATGCACAGTACCCTTTATGATAGGGCGTAAATTACATTTGCATATGAAAGGCGGGGATCGACCTCACATTGAAACTTGATCACTACAACGCAGGCCGTAAAGCAGTAAAGTGTGAAAAGTGAATCGGCAAACTTTTGGAATGATTGATTTTTTAATTATATCTCGACATACCGTTAACAAAAAAGACCAATTTGATAAAAGCAATGCGTGAATGCAACGATGGCAGTACGTTGTTACGCCGCTTATTTATCGATCCAGTGACCACGAACACAGCATGTGGAGAATGATGTACAGGCAATTTGAGTGCAGATTGCTCTGTGGTTCGACGCTGGCATTCTTTTTTAGAACATTTTGTTCGAAAATTATTTTACCTCAAATTTTTTAACAGTTAAACAAACCTCAAAAATTACTAACTTGAAAAATGTTATCTGACCATTTCAATTCTTTTATTCAACAATTTTTCTAAAAAAACGACGTTTCATTTTAATTGAAATTTATTGCCTCAGTCCTCAGCATAGAAAAACAGTTTTCCAAATGTGAAACTCAATCAAAAGCGGCTTATCATTCATTATATCGTCAGGCACAGACACACATGCAAACGCGCGCAAACGTGAAACCCCTCGCCTGCAACACTTATTTCATAACTTCTAATTGGAAAAAAATTTATTTTTCAAAAAGTTTTGAAAAAAATTTTTAACAAAAACTATTTTCATGAAAGAATTTTTCAAAGTTGAACAATATTGGTGAAATATTTCCATTCGAATAAAATTGTTATTTAAAAAAATTATTACCTTGGCGAAATGTTATTCAGATAATTTTTGTAACATCAAACAATTTTTTCCTCTTAGCACGGCATGTTTCATGTACTTATTTTTGAAATAATGATGATAGAAGGTGATAATAAAATAATGATGATGGCGATGATCTTGATCGAAATCTAATGATAAGGATTAAAAATGATGAGAATGAAGATGACGATGGCGATAGAATGTTTTATGAAACGGCCGAACGCACGCTGTATGGACGAGAACTAGAGTTGATGAATGTCTGGAAAAGATGAAGAAGATAAAATCGACGATAATGACCGTGACGATGATGATGACTATGACTATGATGGACGTCAAAATAAAGATGATAATGACGAGAACGATGACGCAATAATAAGGTAGGCATCATACAAGAGGGGCATTAAAGTGTGACAAGAACTGAGCATCAACCGAGCGTGGTGACCTTGAAACTTAAGGTCAAACTTTAATATTATTTTAAATTTTCATAATGTGAGAAATAATTTTAATAAATAAAACAAAGAAAATCTTTTTTAAATGTAATTAATTAGAAGGGAAGATCGAATGAAGCGTGTTTATAAACTAACATGTTAACGATTGCTACAGTTCTCTGAATTCAATAGTACTTCCTACTGCAAATTTATTAGGCATATATATATATATATATGCTTACTCGTATAAATAAAATTTGATTATTCTACCCATTTCATATTTTAAAACAGATACACGAGTCAAGTTGCATCCAGAAAGACACGCACGCACGCACACGCACACAGACACGCACACAGATAGACAAACAGAGTGGAATAGAAGATGTCGACAAGCGCGGGTGGATGGAGAGAAAGCGTGATGAAGGAGTTGCAGCCGATGAAGCGGCTGTCGGACGCCACCGGAAGCATGTACAACAGAGCAAGGAACATCTACATGGATGTTAAGGCCAAAATTACGTTCGTAGTAAATTTTTAAGAATTGTTAAAATTATTTAAAATTCATTTTTTAGATTTTCTACAGTATATTATTACATTTCAACTATTTTTCCTTATATTTTATCTTCTGATTTTTCGCGTGAACTTTTTTCCTTGAATTCTAAATTGTAGGTGAAGATTAGCAATCCCAATAAGTAACTAATTTATTATTAATGCTACTCCGAGTTTGGAATTGCCGTCTGCTTGCCATTTTTTTCTAATTTTGGATTTTCAGCGTGAAGACGTTACATAAAAAATTAAATTGCAAAACGTTTTTTATGTGCACCTGCACATGTACACACTAAACTGTGAGTGTGTGTTTGTGTGTTCGTGTATGTGTGTGCATGAGAAAGAAAAAGAGAAGGGGGAGTAGAAAGAGAAAGACAGATAGAAACAGAGACAGAATATCAACTTCATTCGAAAATGTGCAGATAGAAATGACTTGTTTGCTTGTACATATGTGCAAAGGTTTCTTATAAAATGACGGCTCGTATAGGATTCAAGCTTTCCAAAAATGTACTTGAAAACTATTTAGAGCACATGTGTAACTGTTATCATTGGGAAAAAAATTCCAATTCGTCTATTTTATTCATTAAATTTTAGATATATAACAATAGCAACAGAGTTTATTAAAACATTATAACTTCATAACAGCGCAAAGGTTATTACATAATTTAAGACATTTACTGAAATTTCTGATTCAATATTTTTCTTGGAAAAGTCATTATTAGTGAAAAGGACTTTTTCCATCAAATCAGAGCACATTTTGCATATTTATGTACATCAGCATGTATACAGAAAAAACAGAAATACATAAAGGCCCACGCAAACATACACACAAACATCATCATATACAATAGGAACATTATCGAACTTCATCATCATTCATTATCAAAGACATCGGTTTCCATCATGACCATTAAGATGATTTATTAAGATTACTAAGAGAACTGTAGTTAGCGAACACTGGACAGCATTGTGACCAGTCTATCATCATCATCATCATCATACATCATCATCATCGCCGTCGTCGTCATCTTTATTATCATTCATCATCGTCATTAACCATCTTTTCTCATTTTAATCATTGTACACCATCATTATCATTCTCGTCTATTATCATAATCATCAGCGCCATCTATCATCATCATTATCAGCACTACCCATTCTACTTTTCCACACACGCTCAATGTTGATGATAGGAGATTACTTTTCAATTGATCCAGCCAGCACACACATCGCCACCATTCCATTCAGAACTGCATTAAAAGTCTCTCTGATGAATACTCCAATGGCGATGATTGAAAATTTCTAATTTAAACATATTAATAAAAAAAATGCAAATTTTCTGGTTCATTTGTTTTATAAAACCACTCGTTTATTTGTTTCATTTTTCCTAATAAAATGCTTAATAATATCTTCAGCCCCTAATAAAACCTATCGGCTGTCAACAATCAATCAACTATATAACAATTTAATCAACAATTCAATCTACCATTTAATCAACCATAAAACCAACCAATCAACCAACCAACCAAAAACAATAACAACACCAGCGGTGAAGACGTCATGACAAAAGACAAGGCAGTGGAAGTGTTGAAAAGTGAACTTCACTTCCCGGAAGACAGAGCCATCAACTTCCTGTCGAGATTCAACAAAAACAGGGATGTGACAGGTGGCTTGAGGGGCATTGACGGCAACAGCAGCGCTGCAGATTTCAAATTATCGGCTGTTGAGTTTAATGAGTTTATCCAGAAAGTATCTGAAATGTTAGTTTATGATCAAGCAGTTCTTATGTAAATTTATTAGTAATGTAAATTAACAAATAAGTCATTCAATCATAAATCAAAATCATAAAATCATAAATCATTTATAATCATTTTATTATAAAAGACGTGGAAAATCAATTTTAATAAGACGCTAACAAATATAAATGGGCATAAAAACATTAATGTGTTGATTGCACACATAAACCACACACACTTATGCACACAAACACCGCACAAACTCCACACAAACACACACTTCTATGTGTGTATAATACACATAGTAAAAGATACAATCAGCCTCGAACTTATTTCGTGAAACTGCTGTAAGCTTCTTTAGGAAGAGTAAACTGTTTAAATTTGAAAAATGTTTGTTTCTTTGTCATTCAAAACTTTTTGCCAGAGTTTTAAAATATATTATAAATGATTTATTGTGCCTTAAACTGTGTACGCTCCTGTCAGTTGAGTTGGAGGGAGATGGATATTTAGAACACGGTGATACTTTTTACAGTCAACAACTCCCATGTTATTGCTACTCTTGCTATAAATTAATGTTATAATGTTTAAAAAGCTATGATGTTGCCACTAAAAGCTCCTACATAAATTGATGTTGCCTATCAATAAATGCAAATAATGTGAGATTTTAGTAAGGCTGTAATTATTTTTTGATGAATCATTATTTCTAATACTTTCAAATAGCTCCATGATAAATTAATTCTCTCATTTAAACAGTTGAGTCGGCAGATGTTTCGTAATTTTGAAAATTTATATCTTCAAATGTAAATTGAGATAGATATTGCTACGAAAATTCAATTACTGACCTAACAATTATTCACTACAATAGAGATTGTTATATAAATATGTTTTTTTCATTATTCTCATTTTTTCGTCATTCAATTTTTGGAGTTCAGCCGTATTTCCACCTGCCTACCTAAGTACCTACCCACTCAGAGCCAGGACAAATGCATGGCTTTCTGCTCCGTTTTATAGGTCCAATAAAACTCGATTGCAATCGAAGCATTCGCTATAAACATTCATATTAAAAGCATTCATTTGCACAAATACATACAAACACACGTACATACACTCATACAGGCACTTGAATATAAATATATGTATACAATATATAAATAGATAGATATATAACTTATACTAATACTATGTTTCTATTATTTATATTTTCTAATTTCCAATCTTATATATCGTTGAATGTTGAGGATGTATGTTGCTCTGTGTTGTATGTGACTTTGTGTGTGTGTATGTGGGTGTGTATCTGTGTGTGTGTGTGCAATTATATGTTTGTGTTTGTGTGTGTATAGTGTGTGTGTATGTCACAGTGTGTATGTGTATGTTTGGTGTGTGTGTGTATGTGTCTATGGTGTGTGTATGTTTTTGATGTGTATGTGGGTATGTTTGAAGTTGTGTGTAGCGCACGTGTGTTGTGGCGTAATTCAAGTCAACAACAACGACGACGAATAAAGTTGTAATCCCGGCGATAAAATGTGACCCCGCCTTGCGGCACGGAGAGTTAATCACGTGACGTAATTGGATGGCTGATGTGTTGGAGGAAATTTGACTTTCGCTAATTAACAAACACGAGACTGATTTAAGACGTACGGATATAAATACAACGTCAACATGTTTGTAGCCACTAGCCATACATGTTGTTTCAAATGGAGGCAAATATAATGGTTTTGTATATTTGATTTGTACGTGAACATTTATGTATGTATGAATTGGGTTAAACGTATCAATTGACATTTTGCTTGTGCATACTTAGACAAATTTTAAATGGTCGCATAACCATTTTGTTCCTATGTTAAGCCTTCCTCTTGTTTATTTCATTTGTATACAACACTCGTTAATTAACTTCCTACATCTATATTTATGTTTATGATGGATTAAGTTTTAAGATGAACTGTGGTTGTTTGTTGCTTTTGTGTGTTGTACTGCCTGTTTACATGTTTCAAACAATTTCTCTGTAAAACATCTTCTGAAATGTCAATATCAATTAAGAACAAATTAATGAAAGATTAGTTCAAATTTAAATTTAAACAAAGTTAGCAATGCAAATGAACGACAGACTCGATGTGATCGCCACAAACAAATGCTGAACATACATAGAAGTACATGCATACGCTCACATACACATACATACATACACATACGCATACATACATACACATACACAAAGATTCGTACACATATACAAAGATTCGTACACATATAAACACACACACAAACGCGTCCACGTACACATACACACACGGATCGATGCCTGCAACAAAAAGTTTACAATTTTAAAAAAGTTTTTTTTGCCCTGATGAATTGATTACTGGATCTAAGATAAATAGATGGATGAATGGATGAGTGGGTGGATGGATGGATAGATAGTTAGGTGTGTATGGTTGACTAAATGAATACAGTGATAAATGAATGAATGAATGAATGAATGAATGAATGAATGAATGAATGAATGAATGAATGAACGAACGAACGAACGAACGAACGAACGAACGAACGAACGAACGAACGAACGAACGAACGAACGAACGAACGAACGAACGAACGAGTGAACGAACGAACGAATGAATGAATGTGTAGATGGATAACTTGAATAGATGTAAGTATGTAACTGAATATATAATCAATCAATCAATTAGCTTATAAAGCGCTATTTCCGCGATGTTCAACAGCGCTCCTCAATGAATTTTGAAAACGGATGGGTCTTGAGATCCGCTCTGAACTTCGCAAGTGATGGAGAAGTAGTCAGAGAAGTAGGTAGAGAGTTCCAGAGAAAAGTACCAGAAAAAGCAAAAGCAGATTTGGCAAAAGAGTGTTTAACACAAGTTAAGAAAAAGCGAGAAGAAGAAGACGATCGTAAACCGGGGCGTTTAGGTTCAATTAATATATCTGATAAATACTTAAGAAATAATTTAGATTGAGACTTTAAAATTTTAAAAATTATTCTATATTTTATAGGTAGCCAGTGCAATATAAATAGATTTACAAATAATTGCATAATTAATCAAAGAAACGAATGAAAGAGAAGCTTATAAAAAGTTAATAACAATTTCAAAAGAAAAAAACCATGCAACCGTACCTGCTAATTTAAATCTGATCAAAAGGAGGCCGCAATTTGCACTACAGCCGACATCATTTGTAACATCGTATCATCGTTCAGTCTGGTCATGAAATCTCCAATCAACATCATAATTCTTATCACATTCACTTTAACGACATACCCATCTTCTTCATTTTCATAAAAATCCACCACTAACTGAGCCTTTATAACTTTTCTAAAATCTTTCTTATGATTAATATTATTACAACCATGTTATAGTCACAGACACAGAACCGCGTCACAGTATTCACATCCTCACTAAAACTCCCCACCAGCTAGCCATCCGACTAAATAACCACCACGCAAATTGATCATCAAACGAACTGACCGCCACACTCGACCACACCACCAGCAAACAGGAAATCCTGCCAGCATTCCGGCAATACGATGCCGACCACAACGGGATGATCAGCCTGCAGGAAGCCACAGCCATCCTCGGCAAGCCCCCCTTCAACTTCCCCGCCACCAGGGTTGACAGTCTGCTCAGACGATTCGACAAGGACAACAATGGACAGCTGGATATTGAAGAGTTTGCTGCTTTCTACGCCGAAGCCAGGATCAGGTTTTACCTGTTTAGTCGTGTTTGTTTGTGTGTGTGGCATTGTTTGTGTTAGTACTCCTCACTGTGTGTGTACTTGTACGTGTTTGTTTGCGTTTTTGTGTGTGTGAGATTATAAGTACAAAAGTGTTTGCGTGTTTCTGACTCGCTCTGTCACTGTTTTTTTGTCTGGAAGTTTTTGTGAGTGCATAATGAAGCGCGCACGTGTTTAAAATATGTATGAGTATAAAATGAGTTGAACGCATTTTCACTTGGCAATATTTCGCTTTCACGTAGGCTGGTACGTAAGTGAATTTATGCGCAAGTTGGCGAGTAGGTGTTTGTTCTCTTTTGTTTCTTTTATGTTTGTTTGTTTGTTTTTGTTTGTTTGATTGTTTTTGTTTGTTTGTATTTAAAATTTTTGTTTATTCGTTTGTTTGTTCGTCGGTGGTTTCATTACGTCTCCGTTTTTCTGAAAAATTTTCATTCAACAAATTGCTCTTATAATTCCACTTTTGTTCAGTGTGTGTTGAGGCTTATTTTATATCTCTTACGGAAAACCTTCCTTGCTAATGTTTTCTAGACCCAATGAAAAAATTAAGTTCTGTTGAAATATTTATTTGAATGTGTGTGTTGTTGTTGTTGTGTGTATGTGTGTGTGTGTGTGTGTGTGTGTGTGTGTGTGTGTGTGTGTGTGTGTGTGTGTGTGTGTGTGTGTGTGTGTGTGAATGTTTAGTTTAAAGTTGTGTATAAGAGATGAAGCAATGTGTCAACAGAATTGCAGGCTGCTCATGCATTTTTAAAAATATTCGTTTGCCCAGTTTGAATGGCTAATTTGAAAACGCCATCATCATCATCATCATTTTCAATATCAATGAACTCGTTGTCATCGTCATCGTTGTCAACTTCAATATCAACATTTTCTGTGCGGCGTGATTACGTTCAGCAACCAAGTTTACCGGCATGACGAGAACGTGCAGATTTTAATAAGGTCATCATCATCGTCGTCGTCGTCATCATCAGTGCGGTCGGCATTATAATCACCATCACATCATTTCATTTCTACAACCCTAATTGAGCAGCCAGCTATCTAATTCATCATCATCATTACAATCATGATAACCATTGTCGTAATCATTACAATTTATCTTAATTATCCTAATCACATCACAATCATCATTGAATTCAAGATATCATCATCGTCGTCACAACCATCATCATGTCATCATCATCACCCTCACAACCAACACACAGTCACGAAGAAATATCCAACTGCTTTGATCGTTTGGACAAAGATGGGAATGGCGTGTTGAGTCCGGACGAGGTGCTCTCCGTCATTCAGGAGCGCATGGGAGCTGACAAACAGACTGCGGCCAACCTCATCAAACTCTACGATAGGAACCAGGATGGAAACTTAGACAAAACTGAATTTATGTTTCTATGGTCGGCCATGTTCGGCCAGTGATTCCAGCGCAATCGTCTTATAAAGTTTACAAATTATTTCTCCATGAAATTCCGATCTTAAAGTAACCAGAAATATTCATTATTGCGAAATTTATTTTAATTTTTTTCTCTCTACGATAAATAATTTTCCTATATAATCTTTCAAACACGCGCATAAATTTTCGAAATATAAACAAAGAAGGACGAGGAGATCCTGCTTTTAAATAAATCACATTTAATGGATGATGACCTGGATTTGTGTTTGTGGTGGCTATATGTGGTGGCTACATGTGGTCGCTACATGCTAAGTGCACAACAGAACGCGGTACAAACCCAACATGTACATTGCTGTTTGTTCCCATGATTAAAGAGAACATAAATTAAAAAGAAGAAGCAAGAACCTTTAGCAGGACAAAATATAAATGATGAATGTGAACTTAAAATGCTGCTTCTCAGAACTTTATAATCCATTAAGGAGAATGCTTTTACGAGAAACGATGAAACAATTATAAAAAGTTATAAAAGAAAAAAAGATGAATAAGAAATATGAGGAAACTTATGAAAAGAAATTAATAATGGGAATGAAGAAGAGAGCCTGGATTGAAAACTTCATTTTGAAAAATTAAACACATTAATCCAGTATAGCGGCGTTTTAATATAATAAAAAATAGCTATTTGACAGAAAGGACGCAAGATATTTGGCTGGTGACATGGATGCGTTTCATCGTATGAAAATTTCAATGAAACATTTCACAGATTTTTTAATCACATTCCACTTATATGTCGATAGATTAATTAAGCATAACAGCATTTTTTATCTTTTCAACGTTGGATAAAATGATCCACCACAAAAAATAGTCCTTCATTTTGCTCGTCGTGTCTATGAAAAAAACTCTTTGAATATCTTTTCTATTTTTGTGCTTTTTTGTTTGCCTCAACTGTTTTGCTAAGTTTTATATTTTTGGATATCGCTTTGAATCGTATGTACGTTTATATATTTTTATTTTATCTGTTTGTTTGATACCAATTTCAAATTTTCAATCATCCTTGGTTGAGAAACTTTCAATGTATGCCATCTGCTTGCGACATGCATCAAGTCCTCGACAACTTTTGAAATATTGAATCATTCACCAATACAACACAGTTGAACACAATTTTCTGTTGCTATATTTTCACAGATATACATATTTATTAATTATTCATTTTTACAATTAATTTTTTATTCCAAATTAATTATGACAAAACGTTGATCCCTAATTTGAATTCATAGAAGATAATCATTTTTAAAACAAACCAAAAACCAACTTTGGCTATAATCAAAATTAACAAAATATTAAAAAATACTTTATCAACAGTGGAAACCGATGTTTATTCTGAAATGTAGGCAGAAATGTTTGAAATCTAGGAATAAAAGAAGTTGTCAGAGACGATTCAGTTCGCGTATTAATAACAAATTATATAATATTAACAGTATTAATATTATTAATAAAAATAAATAATAAATTAAACAAAAACCACGGCAATAACAATTCATTGAATTTCAAACTGGTCAGACATTTATACGGAAAAGAAAAATATTTAAAATTGATATTGATATTATACATCTAAGGATTACCTTTCATAAAAACAATAATTTATCATATACCTACCCACATCCCAACAACACGTCACATCATCACATCATCACATCATAACATACATCACATCACATCACAATTCATCTTTTTTGAGATTCAACTTTTTCTTCCTCTCCTTCCAGTCGAAAGCATAGTTCTCCTCTATCTTTCCATGCCTCTGACCATCTCTCGTGTTCTGTTCGTTTTGTTTCTTAACAAAGAAAAAATTCATTTAAAAAATTAACGTTGATTTATTTCGAAAAGATGATGCTTATACGTTTCAATAATAATAATGATGCTGATTGTTACCGAAAAAAGAACACTGTTATGAATGAATGAACGTGAAAATGATGCCACGTGCAACTGTGAAATCTCAGCTGATCTCAATGCAGCAGTAACGTTAAAAACATCTACAATTTCATCGTTAAAATACTACAATATCAACATTTGGCTTGATTATGAATGAAAATTAACAACTAAATAAATTACTATATAAAATAAACAACTACATCCACAACAGTTGCACACATCCACATAAGCAGCAACAACGACAACGGCGACAAAATCTTCTACCACCAACCATGATCGTGAGGATCATGTGGCGCAATGACTTCTCTCTGTCTGTCATCTGGCCACCGCTGCCAAATATGCTCGTCTTCAACTTCTTGCTAGCATCAGCACCTTTCCAGGAAAACATAACAAATGATTACATCAGTACAAGTACCTATTACTATCAGTACCTATCATCATTTCGCCATCATCGTCATTGTCTTATCATCTTGATCATCTTCCATTAGTAACGTTATCATAATACAATGATTTAAAAAAGATTTATAAAATTCTTTCAGCAAAGATAGTACAATAAAAAAACTTAAAAAAACAAGTTAGTTTACCGCTATTTCATAACTAATAGTGCGTACTTATGACGAGAAGAAATAGAAAGTGAAACTTTGACGGGAAGAAATAGAAAGTGAAGCTATGACGAGATCAATCAATCAATCAATCCCAATAAAAACCCCAATAAAATGTAAAATTATTATAATGAAACATTACTTTTATCCTCGTCATCATTACGAGCAGCCTCAGTATCAACATCCTCAACGACAGCATCTTTTGTAACGCCACCACCTGACCCAACATTTTCAGCACTGGCTCCTTCTACAGCGACATTATCCCTGGAGTGCACCTTCTTCAAGCCATCCTCCTCAACACGCGAGTCACCAACAACTTTTTCATCATAAGCTTTATTATCAACCTTCTTCTCGTTACCACCAACGCCATCACCATCGTCACCATCGCTGTTGCTGTCTGATAAAGAGAATGACAGTTTGGTGTCCTCCACCAATTTCGTCAACCCGTCAGCATCTTGGTCGTCGTCATCACCATTCAAATAGTTGAATATGCGCTTGCTAAGTTGACTTAGCTTCGCTTTCAGCTTGTGGATGTGTGAGAGTTTCCTACTAGTAGATTTCGACTTTTCATCACCGTCATCACTTTTGTCATCCCCCTTATCATCAGCAGCAGCAGCAGAATCCACTTTCACCTGAGAGGAAGTAACTTTCTTGTCGACATCACTGCCCTCACCTACCTCGCCATCTCCCCTAACTTTTAGCAGTTCGTTAATTTGACTGGCCACCTCGTCATCAGCAACATCCATCATATTCTGCACGCTCGTCAGCTGCTCATTGAGGTAATTGCTGATGTCGTTCATGAAGGCTTCCAACTTATTCTCTACGGCATCATCGGTTTCATCTTCAACAGTTTTTACTGTTGCTTTACTTTTGACGTCATCCTCATTACTATCAACAGCAATCACATAACCGTTACCAGCCTTATCAACTGAATCAGTTTTGTCAGCAGCACTGCCATCGTTAATTTTACTCATTGATTGTTTATACCTGGCTTCAGCATCTTTTTCATCACCACCAGCAGGAACACCACCACCAACATTTTCATCATCAGCTGCAGCAGCATTTTTTTTCTTCATAAGATCTCTAACTTGCCGATCAACAGCCTTTATATTTATTTTCGTATTTTTAAATTTGATTTCTTTGTTACCATAACCTTGCCACGTGATCATGCTATCATCATCGTCGTCGTCACCATTTGCGAATTTTTTACCAGCATCACTAACTTTATCCACATCCTTCTTTCCATCTACTCTATCCTCTCCAGTAGCAGCAACAATGGTGTCATCATCTTTATCATCCGCATCAGCAGTAGCAGGAACTACTTGTTCATCACCTTCACTATCACCATTGCTCCTTATTTCATCCCGAGCAACCTTGTTAACCTTTTTTGTGATTATCTCCCCTTTCACGACGTCATCATGCAGTTTGTCCTCTCCAGTAGCAGCAACAATGGTGTCATCATCTTTATCATCCGCATCAGCAGTAGCAGGAACTACTTGTTCATCACCTTCACTATCACCATTGCTCCTTATTTCATCCCGAGCAACCTTGTTAACCTTTTTTGTGATTATCTCCCCTTTCACGACGTCATCATGCAGTTGATGATGTTTGTCTGAACTACCGTCCTCATCTGATGACGAACCTAGGAAATGAAGAGTATCAATCAATAACCAACTAAACAATCAATCACCAATCACCCAACCAAACCAATCAATCAATCAACCAATCAGGTCAAGCTCATTCGTCAACATTATATGTTAGTTCGACGGCTTAAATTTAACTTTCTTATTCAAATTCCAGCTATTCGCCATTTAGTGTGATGATGTGCTAACAATACGGAATGAGAGTGCAACTAATCAGATTCAATAAAAACCAATTTTATATAAAATGATTGTAAATAATGGAGATGAGGATGGTAGTGTCGGCAAGGTAATTGTTTATCATTTCATATCTGAGACGTAAATAAATAAAATTATAATGAAAGGTTGCCGGCAAACTTTTTCCAAAAGTGCCCTGAAATTCCTTGCTCATCATCTCTTTCAACTTCCAAACTGCTGATCTAAAAATATGACACGATATAACATAAAAATAATATCAGCTCAATAAAGAGATAACACGATGATATGACGACTGTGATAAAATGATAAATGCCATTACAAAGCAGAAAGATAAAGTTTACAAGAATTTTTATAGACTGTATCAACATTGAATGGCTTTTTTGTTTGCCTTAAAATTCATGAGCAGTAAACAAAATCAATACATCTGTTGAAATCAATAGTCTTAATATTTGCACATGAGGCTATACTGGTTTTACATCAAAAATAATGTTTTGGTAATTTGCCAACATAGTAAATAAAATTTATAAGTTCACATCAGACAGTAATGACTTGCATGCTTCATTCCTATGAAAGTTGTTGAAAATATTTGAAAATGCAAAATTGTTGGTTATAGAAGGAATATAATTTTAGGGCACTTCAATATGATGAAGCAAATAAAAAATTGTACGAGATGCAAAAAATAAAATATAACGAACAATAATGATGATAACATAGGATCAGACCACACAACATCACAAACAACATGTGCTCATTGCAAATAAGATAATTTACGACAAGGATAACAATTTCCCGCAACATCTAGTGAATCATAAAAATGTGCTACAAATTTAATATTCTAATTGAAACAGAAAACGCCTAACTCTAATACATACACACACACGCACGCACACACACACACACACACCCACACATAATATATGGACCAATATATTTGAAATACACATTATAAAAATAAATATACTTTTTCCTATCTATTAGAGATTGTTGTGTCTGCTGTTGTTGTTGAGTTGGATCGATTGGTTCTTTACTGTCTGCAGACGACGACGCCTCTGTGAATGATGATGATGATGATGACGATGATAATGATGATAAGGATGATGATAAGGATGATGATAAGGATGATGATAAGGATGATGATAAGGATGATGCGTCTGTGAATAATGATGATGATGATGATGATGGTGGTGGTGGTAAGAATGACAATGATGATTATGATGATGATGATAATGATGATGATGATGACAATGATGATGATGATGATGGTGATGATTAGGATGGAAACGACGATGAGTGTGATAGTGATAATGGCAATAATTATACTGCAAATAAAACATTGAATAAGAATGAAATAAAAATAAAACTGTGACGATAAGACTGATGAAAATAATTTGAGCGTCTGATGAATGTACATGCCGTGAGTGGTGATATGAATGATGTGATGATCTGTGAGGTGATGATGATGATGATGATGACGAAGATGATGATGAGGAGGAGGAGGAGGAGGAGGAGGAGAAGGAGGAGAAAGAGGAGAAGGAGGAAGAGGAGGACTTACCGGATTTCTCATCACCATCTTTACTTCCGTCATTCAGAGTGTCTGCATGTCATTAAAACCAAATGAACCATCAAAATGTAAAAAAAATCGATTCAACGTTTTAAAATGTCAATAAATCATAGGTACTCTATCTCTCCAACAAACATTTAAAATGACAGAATAATAATTAAATTAATTCAGCATAGGCAAGCCAGCAAATCCAGTATCAAATTTTGGACCATTAGATCTTTATAAACATATATCCAGCAGTATTTACATCAATAAATAAAACTCAGAGTAGCGATGTGCTGAAAGGATCAATTTGTTTATCTAAAGCTCACAATATACATTATCATTCTCATTATTAACATTACACATCCTCGTCGTCATCATCGTCACAGTCAGTTTCACCACCACCACCAACAACAGCAACGTCATCGCACACGACAATCCAACCATCGAAATTTTGGAAGCCATCAGTAGAGAGGACGAAGAACTTGATGCTGGCTCCATCCACTTCAATGACACCGAACCTGTTCAAGGCCTCAGCACCGTACCTCTCAAGATCTCTGCCTTCTAATTTCTTCAACTTCTCCTTGGACTCTTCAGCTGTTGGCGGGAGATTAAAAAATTAGACTTGTTTAATTATCATCTATGAATTCAATGAAGAAAAAAAAAATTAACACACCACATCAAAACTATCAGCAACAACATCAACAGCATCAATGGCAACAACAACAACAACAACATCAAAATATTGAAACCATCAAGTCACCTTCCAGCTCCTCCAGTTGCTTCTGCACCTCAAGATACTCCCGGTACTCCAGCTCATTGAGTACCGGATTGCAAATGATGGGCAGAAGATTTTTGTTCGTCGTCGTTCTTAGTAGTGGGTGTCTGCAGACGAGGTTCGTCGAAACGTGAAGGATGTATGTGCATGTTAGAGGCTCCTCGACGCCGTCCAACGTGTCCTGCAAGCCTTCCTTGCAACGAAACTGCTCACGTGAAATAGTTTTCAATTCTTTTTATGAATCCAAACTTCTACCAAATGTTTAAATATAAATCAAAAATCGAGACATGAAGTGTGAATAACATTCCGTCTGCGAGCAACCATTTGCAGACCACAGCCAACAACCACTCATCAAAATAAACAACTACTAAATTAAATGATTAACAACCAATTAGCATCCAAAATCAATTAGCTGATGAAGCAATCAATCAACTAACTCTGATTTCAGTTCTCCTCAGAGATTTAGTAAGATCACAAACAGTACCATTGACATATTGTTGGGAGTGGTAGTGCATCGTCGCCTCTGGGGCCTAGGACAGAAAAATGTAATCATTTAAATTCTCTATCACGATGAGATATTTCATGGAATGAACAACAATTCTTATTCCAAAAATTATCCAGGGCATCATTTCAAACTAAAACCATAAAATTATAATTTGATATTAAGCTTACAAACAGGCTAAAAATTACAATATAAATATAAGCATGTAAAGAGATGTGACATGGTTTGTGATGTTAGTCAGTGCAGACATTAGAAAAATGTTCACATCCTATCAACTGATAAATAATTGAACTTGAAAATATGGTAACATAAATTCTTCTACAAGTGTCAAAGTTAATTAAAATGGCATGATCTAACACAAAAGTAAAAATAAAGTACTTGAGCACTCTGGGCATCACTCCAGTTAAAATCTTCAGAATAATGTCCAAGTATAATTATGTCTCCGGATATTTTTTTATCTTAATTATTTGAAAAATTAAAAATCAAATGATTAAATTTTAAAATTATATGGAATGAAAATAATATTGAACTAATTTCAACGATTGAATATGTTTAACAAAAACAGGAAACAGTATGGAAGAGGTTGGATAATGTCCAAAAAATTAAAAATCATCTCCAAATATTACAGACTGACCTGAAATGTGATACTGCTTAATTTGTTTCTTGTAGCAAAATTCATAAGTCCACCATCCTGTAGTCTATTTGGATGTTGTATTAGAGTCAACTTAAGCATTTGAAACTTTATTAAAACTTTTACTTTTACAAATTATAAAAACATAAAATACGATAGCAAAACTGAAAATAATTTATAATTTTTTAAGATAACTAACCAGAATGAGGCATGGTTTGTCTTCAAGAGGTTTCAGAAGATCTGAAATTAATAATTTCGAATTGGAGACCCCATCTTCTCGAACTTTCTCACTTATTTCATTGTAGGAATCAAATTGGCATTGATATTGCTGGCCAAATTTAGAAGATAGTATTATATTTTCTTTATTTTCTGTCTGTGTTTAATTAAAAACAAATTAAAAAAAGAGCATTTAATTTAATAAAATTAAATAATAACTGTATAAAAAACAATCTTGATAGCCAATGCAATTGCAATGTTTTGTAGAAATTCAATTTTATTTTTACTGGAATAAAGCCTAAATTATTAAATCATTAATAATTAATTTAATTTTAACATTAATTCATATAAAATTAAATTTGTGGCTAAAATAATAAAAGCGCTATAATATAAAGTAATTTATGAATAAAATAATTAGTAATGAAATAAATAATAATAATAATAATTGCTTTTAAATAAATTAATTATTAATTATTAATGAAATAAATAAATTAAACTTTATGCCTGTTTATCACTGAAGAGGACTGGTTTGTTAGAGATGTCAATGTTGTATTGGAAAGATGACAACTCTTTGAAGTCAAGAGTTTCATGAGTCGGCGAAATAAAAAAATTGAAAAATATAAATAAATAGAGTAAATTGAGTAAGTTAATATAAAATTGTTGCGACATTATGACATCGATTCATTTAAAAAAACCGTCACTACGGCAGAAAAATCCAACTGAATGTTGACTAAGCAATTTGAAAATTGAAAAGCGAACTCAAGTTTAAATTGATTAAAAAACTTGTAAATATATATGAACATGTATAAATTTCTATAGTGCCTTAGTGTCCGTAGTTTAAAGGTGCCCAAAGCTTGGTTTTCTCACATCGATTTTAAAGTGGGAATTTTTCAAGTTAATGGTAAGGAATGCATAGGATAGAAATGTTAAATAACATCAGATGCAAATATGGCAATGTCTTTTTGTTGATAACCCCCAGAGCCTTCAATCATTTATTAGCCGACATCGACAAATTTGACCGGTTATGAAGTTTCGAAAAAGTTAACACCAGAAAAAGTTAACACTCTACATCTTTGTCATGTTTGGAAAGGTATATAGCATCCATTTTCCCATTCCATATTTTCAGCAAGCGATTATTAACGTTGAGTAGGGATGACGTGTCCATGGATATCCATGGACGGGGCACTTTAAACGATGAAGTTTCTTATATCTTATATCTCTCTTTAATGGCGCTTGAATTTTAATTTTTTCACAAGCATGCAGTCTAATCGAATGCACTTGTGTTTAAATAATGATTTTTTTGCATCTTATCATATAATTTGATCATTTCATCTTATTTTATCTAAGAAATGTATTGGCAATAAATAACAAACAAAATTATGAAATCAAGTAATTTGCTTTGTCAAATAACAGTCTACAATTATATTATAACAACATAATAAACAGCCATTTAGGAGCGAAATTGTAAAAGTTGTGGATTTGAAGTACTACGATATAATGACACTGCCTAATTGAAAGTAGTCGTTAGTCGTTAGTGCCGAACGAAATAGTTGAGTAGTTAGTAACTAAAATTTCATGTTGTATTAGACACTAGGCAAGCAGACACGTACATGCAACACTGAAATGAAATAAAACCACTTGAAGTTTGCACGCTGGGATGTGTTTCTCTTGTTAAGTCAAGATGGTCTGCTGGTTTGTACTGTATGTCGTCATGTCAATAATATTAACAATGTATGTAAAGAGAGTAATATGAACTGTCATTCGAAAATAAAATGCTGGCTTGCTTGCTTGTGTCTGTGTGTTTTTATATGTGAATGTGTGTGTGTGTATGTGTGTGTGTGTGTGTGTGTGTGTGTGTGTGTGTGTGTGTGTGTGTGTGTGTGTGTGTGTGTGTGTGTATTAATATGTCATTAATACAGTTATTTCTTTTTTTTTATTTCATAATTTACTTGCATACACAAAGAAAAGCATTTGAAGGAATAATATAAAAGGCACGCGAGTAAAATACTTTGGAAAATGGGAAGAAACGGAAAGACAGAGTGAAAGAGAAAAAAGAGAAAAAACGGAGTGAAAGAAAGAGAGAGATGAGAGAGAGAGGGGAGAGAGAGAGAGGGGAGAGAGAGAGAGGGGAGAGAGAGAGAGTATCACGTTAACCTTATAAAGACGGCGTGATGCCCATACATATTTATATTTACTCAGAAGATTTCAACGACGGTGGTTGCAACATTTTTCGTGATATATCGTCATAATGATTTAACATTTCGAACATGTGCAAATAAAAAAAAATTAATAATATGGAGACAAATATAAGGTTGAAAAAATGTTCATTGCTTGTTGGACCAAAGTTAAAGAATAACAAATTCTAATAAAAATAATAATAAGAAGAAGATGAGGAAGAAATAATAACAAATATAATACATAGTTTTTAATGAAATTTTAAAGTTTGTTAAAATTTAAAGTTAGCGTTATGGCGACACGAATAATTCTAAATTATATAGCGCTATATCTTTTTATATTTCTATATAATTATTACTGCATCAGAGCGGATCATATGAAACCAAGGTTTGGAATATTTTTATGTTAAAGTTTCAAAAGTAATAAAATATCATGCTATGTTTAGCAACTGAATGAATAGGTTACATTACTAAATTGTTCGCGTAGCCTGTGCACGGACTGTAGCACATAGATAATTCATATGTGAGAAACGTTCGGTCTGAATGCAACATCTAAATACAAAAAACTACTACTTCATTTCAACTTAGCACAGCGTTGACAAGATTTTTAACTAAAAAAAATTATTTTCACTAAACTGTGATACTAAAAGCTAATATCTTTTATTCAGTAAACAGCAATCTGCAAATTGAAGTTAGCGCGATAACTTTAATCCAACTCCTTCGTTCGCTTTTATCTTATCACTTCTTAATTAATTTTTTTAGTCTGCCTTGAAAGGAACATGAAACGAAGCAGTACGTGCTTTACATGCAACGTAAAATTGTTATGAGTTTCAAATGCCTCAGGATTTCAATCTTAAGACATTTTTACTTTTGAGTTTGATGCACAGACATTAAAATTGTACTCGGAGTTGATAAATAACTACGGACAACAATGAAAATCATTTCAGAAGCACAGCGCGTATAAACATAATAACAGACAGACTAGGGTAACAGGCAGAAAGAAATAATAAAAACAACAACATCAACATTATCAGAGCAAACTACAAACTTCAGGCAAGCAACAATCGAACAAACACGCTGCTTCTACAAAGCCACAAACAAAAATTGTATTAAAATAAATACATTCAAGCCGCAACAAAAACAAAGCTGCAACATATACTACACCATAACGACAGCACACAAAACACAAAATTTAATGTAAACAAATAAAACTTACCTCAAGAATAGGAGGACCAACAACAGAAACAACAACACATGCAAAAATACAAGCAACAACGCAAATTGTATGTATGGCATAGCATCTTCAATAAATTTCTTACCTTGACGAAGGAATCAGTCATCGATAATTGTATCAACGTGTGTGTGTGTGTATGTGTGTGTGTGTGTGTGTGTGTGTGTGTGTGTGTGTGTGTGTGTGTGTGTGTGTGTGTGTGTGTATAAAATCTGATGATTAGGCGTATAGAGGAAATTTTACATGGTCACGTGGGTCGGTTACTAGCCGAAAGTACGAGCGCTTACCTAGGAGAGAGCAACGTGCGAGTCTATAAGTCTAGTCGGCACAAATAAAATAAAGCCCTTTTCTTCGTTCTGTTGTTCTTGTGCGGAGTTGACGTTAGGACTGTTGATTATTGTAGATTATTATAAACTGTTTATTATTGTAGATTATTATGAACTGTTGATAATTGTAGGTTATTGTGAACGGTTGATTATTCTAGATTATTGAACTAGTTATTTCAATTGATCGTTGTCGATTATAGTTGAAAGGTTAATCCGTAATATTGTTTCTGTCTTAACAAACAAAATAATAATAAAGAAATGACCCAACGCTTGAAAGAAGACTTGCGGGCGTGCGGAGAGGCCGGTCCGTACGCCCGGCCCGGCAAGAAGGGCGAAACATCTCTTTTGCCCGGCCCGTGTATTCCGACCCTGAGGTTTGTAGAAGATATTGTAGACCGGCGGGTCTACATGTACAACGTGTATGTGTGTTTAAATGTATGTGTGCATTTACATGTATAGATGTGTTTTTATGATATAAGGGTATTACCATGTACGTTTTACGTTATGAATGTTCATCATACAGTCATGCATAGTGTCTGTCTGTACTTACATATGTTTGCGTGTGTGTGTGTTTGTATGTGTGTGTGCGTGTGTACGTATGTTTAGTATGTACTATATGCTGTAGTTGAATTTGAAATTTAGTAAGAAAGAATGATACATTTATCGATTTAAGAATTGGTTGGTTACATGAACCTGCTTTTAAAGTAATTATCAAATGTATCAAGTAAAATAAAATACGGCGATGTTACATATGTCAAACAGTTTGTTTGTAGTTCGATAATAATAACATAATAGGAAGAAAAATAAGATAATAAGTTTAATATAAAAAATAATACAAGGATAAAAACGGGAGAAATCTATTTTCTTTAATGCAATTACATGTTGCTGTTATATGATGTGATAGCTTCATTGCTGTCATAACATCAGTCGGAATGAATGAATGAGTGAATGATGTTTTCACTTTTTTGTTAGAATGATATTGGCAAGTGTGAGTGTGTGTGTGTGTGAGTGTGTGTGTTTGAACAAACAACAAACAAATAATTGTTAACGTTGTGCTTTAATTGTTAGCGTTAAGCTTTTCTTTTTCTGCTTATTTTAGTTCTTCTGTCGTTAATGATAACAAAAATTGTCCGAAAAATGTTACTTAATAATAATAAAACAGAAATAATTGATGAATCTGACTTGTTTGTTTATATAATTAAGTTGGTAGATACCACACAACATATGTTAGAGAAGAAGAAAGTGTGCAATTCAACACATTACGTATGGTCCATGAATTCAATTAGACTTGTTAGCAAGTCCGCACATAATGAGATAATTTAGCAGTTCTAGCTGTGTTTCTGTGTTTTCAATTACTGCAATTTCACATACACATATACACACATGCAGACACTTTTAAACACACGCAATAGACACACACAAACGCATATTCGCGCGCATTCTACGTTCATTTCAAGCTTTTATGTTAGTCTTTGTTAGCGAATTTCAATATGTGTGTGTTTGTACTGCATTAATTTTTTGAAATCTTTCTATTATGTAATTAATTATGTCAGTTAATAAATTTTTTTATATTTCTGTACACTGCTATCATCATTGTTCATTCATCATTTGTATCACTGTCATCTTCATCATCGTCGTCGTCATCTTCATCGTCAGCTCAGAATAGATCAACCACATTAATCATTCTAGCCATCTTCCATTCCTTTCATCACTTCAGCCGTCATCATCATCATCATCGCCATCATTATCAGGACCACACAGTCGTCATCATCATAATCACCATTGCATGATCTTAATCATCATCATCACGTAATCTCACCATCATCATCATCATTGATACCGCTTCTTCATCAAACTCATCACCACATCCTCATCATCATCATCATCATCGTATTTTTCTAACACAGCTGAACTTCTACCCAACATTTTAACGTCACTCACTCACTGTTGATAATAATATCATCACCGTAAATAACTCATCTTCATCATCATCACCATCATCATGTTCTGTGATGCATCCTATCATTTACAATTCATCTCTCATAAATTAATCAAAATAATAATTATTATTATATTGATAATAATGATGATGACGACGACAACGACGATGTTGATGATAATTCATTTTTTATGACTCACTTTCTCAGACTTGTTTTTCTCAGATCATTACCTCCCTCTTATTACTTTTCATTTGTTAATTATTTTATTTATTATTATTATTATTTTATTTATTATTATTATTATTGTTATTATTAAATAAAATGTAATTACACTCGCGTGATGATGTACAATGATCTGTCTTGAAAACCGCAGCGAGAATGTGTTGCTAGATATTCAAGATCCGGTTCAATTTCAGCAACTGCATACATCAGGGATAATCTACAATGACTCCACTCCGTATGTCAGAAAGAATCGTATTCACACTAGCTCTTTTAGTCAGAGATTGTCTGCTGCTGACTTATTTAAAGGAACAACCACAATTTGTTTCAGGAATTGCAAATCGGAGTCGACTGAGATCTTCCAAAATAACAAACTTATAAGGAAGGTCTGGTTACGAGTAAATTGTTTGACACATGAACCAATTCTAATGCCGGATGTCTTTACTCTGTTGGCTACTCGGTTTACACGACGTACGTCTATATAATTACGATATTACGTAACGTTTTATCTTGTTTCACACCACACTTATGTATTTCAGTTAGAAAAAAGTTTTAAAAGTAAATTTTATGTTCTATGTTGAAATTTTTCTAGTTTTCATGGTTGCTTAGTTATTTTGTTTGTCACTAAGTTCTTTTCATATATAAACCTTTGGTGAAAAAAGCTGAAAATGGCGAGATGATTATTTTGAGGGATCTTGCATCCAAATTCGTGAAGGTTCACCTCGGCCAAAAATTCACCTCCAACAAAAATTTCATGTGCAAATTTTTTTAATATCACGATGATTTATTTTAATCGTCCTCTCTTGAAAATAAAATTTTATAGTACCCATCCAAATTGCTGGTGGTTATATTGATATTCAACGTCCAAATGTAGTCGGTGCATTATGCTGGAAAATTGCTGACGCATGTTGACCAATAACTCGATCGATTTTTTTCAAATTTTGATCGATCATCATTTAACACCATCATCGTCGCCGTCATCATCCATTAACTAGGGAGTCTCCACCATCACCACATCAACACATCGGATCAGCGTGTGACCTCATTCTCGATGGTTACCAGCGACACCAAGAAGTAGGTCATGTTGGATCATGTGGTTGTTTATTTGGGTCATGTATGATCACGTGGTTGGAACGTCATCTATTTTTGGGTGATTTATTATGTATTTACTTTTTGTTCTTGGTCTCAAAGTGCTAAGAGATGAGTACACGAGGGTGGAAATACGTGATTTGTTAGCGAGTTGTGTCTGAGGAGAAGTAACTTGTGGTTGGTATGTTTAAAAATATGTAACTGTGTGTATGTCACTTTGTTGTTTGTGTGAATTTCATACAAACGTGCAATAAACGAAATGATTTTGTGTGTGTATGAATATCAATAGAGGTTGATGTTTACAGGTAGGTATAGTGATTGTCTGCATAGTTATGTTGTACACTTGTTTGTATGTTCATCTTCTTCCAAGGAGATTGCAGATTCCTATTAAGTATGAGCAAAACAGTTCAAGTATTTGCAATTTACGGTTTAACTTTGTCATTATAACTAAATCTCAGATAGAAAACTTTTTACGGCGGGTATGTGAGATGCACGAGAATGTGACTGAGCTCTTTGACATCGGATCCACGTATGAAGGAAGAAGAATGCTGGTTCTTAAGGTTCTTTTTATATTTTTGTTATGTTTATTTTTATAAATAACATTGTTTAGTTGTGTTACGTAAAAATTATCTTTTTCTATTATTTTTTTTAACTAACTAGCGTCTGAAGTGTTCAACAGTGTGTTGAATTGTTAAAATAAATTGGCAATAAGAGAATTTAGTTTTTTAATGTTTTGTTATATTTGCAATTTTTGTTGTTTAAAACTGATCTATTGGCTCAAAATTAAATTAAAACGTCCTTAAGACAGTTCAGAGGACTTTATAATTAACCAGATCAATTTAATAAAATCTGCAATAATATCTCAGAATCAGGATATCAGCAACATCTCGTAATAAAAAAACAACTTGCTGGCATTAGGTCGTTGAATGTTGGTAAAGAAAAAAGGCAGCATGTATATCATACGAGTAGTGCGAAATTATAGAAAACTTCAAAACAATCTAATCTAGAAACTAGATCTGATGTACAATGCGATAAACATCGTAGTCAACATCACATGAATAACATTTTCATCATCATTATTTTTTCTATTGTTTGTTTGCTATTGTTTTCATGAAAATAACTAACCTGTTCAAGATGCTATCTCTTATGTTTGTATAATTAATTGTTTTGCTGATTTTTTTTCATATTTTGATTGTGGATTTTCTTGTTTGATCTTTTAATTGCCGTTGTTAATGTGGTTTATTATTTTTCAGTTTTCATTCTGGTACCGTTCTTTTGGCAGATTGGCTTCAAGAAGCAGGCAACAACACCAGCAAATGAGCGGAGAAAAAGCGCGTGGATTGATGGAGGTATACACGCGCGCGAACATATTGCCCCGTCTACGGTTTTATACATCATCTGTCAAGTTCATATCTTTATTTTCTTCCTATTACAAATAAAATCTCGATTTTGATTTTTATTCAATAAAATAAAAATTTATTTCAAATTTAATTTTGGTGTTTGGTAAAATTGTAGATCCGACCTGACCTCAATTTTTTTATAATCGTTGTGATGATATACTGAGGGAAAATTGGTTATTTTAAGTTTTTAAAAAACCTAAATCTTTCACCCACGCGGATCTCTAACTTAAACCGTGATGTTTTACAACTGATTTGATAAAACATTCAAAAGTTCATGAAGGGCATAACTGTGAATAGCAAAAAGATCACAAACCTACTGACCCAATCAGACTGGTACTTTCTTCCAGTCGTCAATCCGGACGGCTACGAGTACTCCTTTACAAAAGTACTTCTTCAATTTATTACAAACATTATCCACAGAACTTTACACATTTTTTAATTTTATTTTAAAATGACAGAACCGAATGTGGCGTAAAAATCGCCGACCCACATCGCCGAATTGCATTGGGGTGGATTTAAATCGTAACTGGATTTTTGGCTGGGGAGGAGGTTCAAACTGTTAAATTGCCAACAAAATTATTATTACAAAATCGTAATTTTAAAGATTGAAAACTTTGAAATTGATTTATGACAAAACACTCAAGATTATTAGCAACAACGTAACCACAAAACAGCTGATTCGGAAGCAAACCCATGCGCCTTCAATTATAGAGGAGAGCATGCTGAATCGGAAGCAGAAGTTATCAACATCGTCCGCTTCATAACAGACCAACAAAGTTGTGACAGTCAATTCTTTAGCTTCATAACCTACCATTCCTATGGACAGAAAATATATACTGGCGCACAACATGGCTATGGTGACAATAACGAAGCGGTTAGTATATTCATAAATAAAATTTTCAATTTATAGATGTTTGTTTAATTTGAAACTTCTTCGGTCAGACAGCATTAGCGTACGAAATGTCAAAGTCCATAAAAAAAGTGAATGGTGCTCACTATCAGGTCGGAACCTCAAGTGCATTGGCCTGTCAGTGTTAATTTTTTTCGAAAATTTTGAATAAATTTTATGATAAAGACACACATTTTTATTATTTTTTAACATTTTATAGACCCGTTCGGTGGAGGATCGTCTGATTGGGCAAAGCGGGTGGTGCAGATAAAATATTCTTACTTGATAGAACTCAGAGATCGAGGACAGAACGGATTCCTGTTGACGAGGAAGGAGATCGTTCCAACAGGACAGGAACAGTGGGCAGCTATTTTGAAATTGGGTGCAGCCATATTAAATGCTCAAAATTTAAAAAAAGTAATAAATTGCACAGACGAAACTAAGCTTAAATACCAGTACAAACATCCGAAATTAGAAAAGTTAAATATTCATATAGCACAGAGGCACAAAAATAGTTGGAAATCTATGATATCCAATATAGGCAGCACAAATGTTAAACACTACTTAACAGTGTTTATTTTATTTTTTGTCATCATTGTGTTGCTTTCATAGCTTTTAGTTAATTAACTTAATGTTTTTTGTTAGGTAAAATAAAACTATCATTGTCTTGTTCATATCAAAATTCTATCTCATAATCTCCTAAACCTAATAATGTATAATTTGGTAAAATAGAAATCCTGACATTTTTGGTATGTAGTATTTTGAATAGTTACCATTAAGTATTACTGAGCACGCACTTTAGCTCAAATTAGGCTGGTAGTTTTATAATGAAATCATGTAGTACTCAGTCTCCTAAAAATGAAAATGTTTAATTTGGTATTGGAAATTTTGACGTTTTAGATTACATAGTATCTTGAATCGACCGAATAGTTACCGTTACAGAACACGCAAAATATTTCGATGTTTTTGGATTGTGCGACGATATAATAAATAAAGCTGGTTGTTCTTTTTTACTAGACTCATGTAACACTCAATCTCTTGGGCATGAAAATGTTTAATTTGGTAATGGATATTCCGACGTTTTTTTGGTATACAGTAACTTGGATCGACCGAATTGTTATCATTAAGTATTACTGAACACGCACTATAGTTCAATTATTTTAGAATGTAGCGTCGATATAATGGTAGTTCTTTAATAATTTTATATAGAACCATAAAACCACCTATGTATCTATATCCAATCTATATTTAGAATAATCTTACGAGTCTGGAATTGTATAACTTGATGGTGCAAACCAAACCCTGTGTAATTAACAGTAATTTAAGATAGTGACATAAGGGTATAGTTAGACAGACCTCTCAATGTTTACTGTTTGTAGTTGCTATCGAACTGCAGCTCCAGTGGATTTTTGATCCTTCTACGTTTTGCAATTCACATTTAATGAAATTTACGGACTCAAGTGCAAAATTAACATATTCGTGTGTAATCGTTTTTAAAATATTATCATTTTATTTGATTATTTCGGAGAGTCATGTTGTAGAAAATAGTCACCTAAACATTTCTACTAGTACTACTAATTCTTCAGCTGATGATGAGGAATTTGATCCATACTCACCTCTGGTCAAATGCTCCTATCTGTATGATGTTTTTGTCGCTTAATAATTTAATTAAATTTGTTTTTTTTCTGTATGTGGCTTATTCATATTTTATTTTATGACATTATAATTAATATAACTATAATTATAATTTATTTATTTTTATTTATTTTATAATATCATTTTTTGTTATTTTTTCAGAAGCAACGAGTTTTTAGTTTGTGAAAATCATGGGATAGATCTGAAAGGAAACACTACAGCAAAGGAGGAGCTTGGTTATGGGTGTGTCAAGGTTTATCATTTCATTGATTTTTAAAAAATTGTTATATTTTATTTAGAGGTGTTGCACCATTATCTAATAATTAAATTATTCAAAAATTTTTAGTTCGGAGGACAAAAATATGAGAAAGTAGAGAGGTCTAGAGTCATGTGCAAAGTGCTTGATGGGATTGAATGCTTCGGTGAAAGGACATTTTTAAGTCTTAAACAATATCCTTGTATCAAGTATCCATTATTGAAATAATCCATTTATAAACTGGTTGATTTTGTCAATTAATGTTTAAATATTTAGATGATAAGTTTAAATATTTTTTATTGACAAAGGTTTCTCAACTATTGCAAAAAATTGCGATTATATATATAAAATCTATATTCAACTATATTTATTCATTAATTATTTTAACCAATAAAAGGTACACTGGGCACTATTTTGTGAACACATTAATTTATTCATTCCTTCTTGGTTTTCTTGGTATGGATCGGTTTTGTTTGGGACATACTGGTTAGCTTCACTTTTACTTTCGAGACTTGCACCGTTGACTTGTAAATCAGTTTACATAATAAATTTATTGAATGAGAGGTATACAAATTATATTAAAATGTAATCATTTTAAATAAATTGATTTAAAGTTTGTATTTCTTAGTAAAATTTATAATTTTTTTCATCTTTATAAAGGAACAGCAGTCGGAAAGTTACTAACATTGGGTGGTCTTGGTGTTTGGTGGGTGGTGGATATCATTTTGCTGGTGCTTGGGGAACTTAATCCGGCCGACGACAGCAACTGGGTCCCTATTTATTAATTTTTTCTATTGAATAATTTTTTTTAAACAGAAATTATTTTAACCAATCGCAATTTTTTGTATTTGATTGGTATTCATCATTCACTATGATGAAATTTATTCTCATTTGTTATTATATCTTCACTGAGCTTGTATTTGTGATTGAATTAAAATCCACAAACTTATTTTATGATACATACATAACACACACATATGTATATATATATATATATATATATATATATATATATATATATATATATATATATATATATATGTATATATATATATAGAAAGTTATAGAATCACACATATAGAAAATATTCTGTATGTAATGTATGTCTCGTACTCTTATAGTTATTTTGTAAGGTAAAATTTCCACAGATAACATTGTTAATTAAAATAAGTAAGGCTCGGTTAACTGTTAGAAGTTTTCATAAAATGAAAAGGCTGACTGTTCGTATGAGAAAATGTCGACCTCAACAAAAAAGTTCAATTTTTTAATTATGGCGGCTGGTCATACACGAGCAAATGTTATTTTTATTTCGTTCAATTGGTTTGATTTTTAAATAAATTTATCAAAGTAAAGGAAAAAAAATTGTTCATATCGCGTTAGGTGTCTTTATGTTCCAATTTGTTTATTTTAGATTAACTTTTAGCCCAATGACAGGAAAGCAATTTAATTTTTAGTCACTCAAATTTTTAAATAATTTTCACCACTTTAAAAGTCAGCTTGCTACAAATACTAGCAAACAGCTAACTACAAACATTCAGCTATCACTATTAGTAACAACGTCTACCGGCAACAACATTATTAGAAATATTAAATGGGATACTTTAATAGTAGTATGATTGGCGGAAATGACGTCATTTTAATACTAATTATTTGTGTGTTTGTTTTATGTGTGTGTGATGGTTTGCGGTTTGTGTTGTGGCTCTATATACTGTGGACAAGATAGTGAGCTAGACGATACACAAACATTCTATTGTAGATATTATTTAATATATTTGATTTCTATTAAATAAAATAAATTTTATCAATTGTTATATGTATGTAAAAAGAAACAAATTATCAAACAAATAATTAAATAACAAACCAACTGGCAAGCAAGCACACGCGCACACATAAAAATACAAACAAACCAAATTTGTTATGAATTCAAATTAAATCTATCATATCTCATAGGCACACCGATACCAATAAGCAGCAAAGAACTAAGTACAAAAATTCAACTATCACTACTAGTAACAACAACGACTAACATTCAGCTACTGGCGACAACATTATTAGAAATTAAATAGTTGGTGGAAATGACCTCATTTTAAAACTAATTATTTGTTTTATGTGTGTACGTGAGTATGTGTGTTTGTGTGTGTGTTTTTGTGTTTTAGTATATTTGATTCCATTTCATACAGCTACTGGCAACAACATTATTAGAAATATTAAATGGGATGGTTTAATAGTAGAGTAGTTGACGGAAATGACGTCATTTTATTATTAATTATTTGTTTGTGTATTTTTTTCGTTTGTGTAGGTGAGTATGTCGCTGTCTGGGTGTGTGTTTGTGCGTGTGTTTCAGTATATTTGATTCCTATAAAATAAAATAAATTTTATCAATTATTATATGCATGCAAAAATAAATAAATTAACAAACAAATAATTAAACAAACCAACATACCCACGCGCGCGCACACACACACACACTGACTGGGAGAAAGAAATTTTAAACATGTTTTTTGTGGCTGACGACCATTTAAATAAAAAGCTCATTAACGTTAATGACAGGATCGTTTTCAACAAATTATGTTTAAAAGAAGGACTGCTGACGACATCCCACCTGTTGTATATATTTTCAGCTATTCATTCAAGCTATAATTTCAATGTTGAATGTATGCGCTCCAACCGGATACAACTTATTTTGTCGATAACTTTTTAAATTTTAACAACAAAATTTTTTTGAGTTCATTATAATGATAATTTCTCTAAGCAAAGACAAAAAAATTACTAGTATAGGATTGACACTTTGTTGAGAAATCGTTGGCGGAAATGACGTCATTTTAATAGTAAAAAATATTAAAATGTACGATGGTAAATTATCCGGTATAAACATTACATTCGATTCCTATAAATAAATTTTACCAAATATTATATGCACACAAAACTAAATAAATAAACAGATAGATATGCGTAGTTATTAAATATATTTATTATTTTTATATTTATACATTTAAATTATACAATCAGAGTTAAGTAAGTTGTGTGGTGTCAAATTATTTTGAGTTCTCTCGGAATAATTGAATGATTTTAAATATAATATATAAAAGAAATGAAATAAAAAAGACACGTGTTTTTATTTTTCAATTGTTATGATTAACGTTTGCACAAACTCGAACCATCCCATCAGGAATATGTTCGTTGAATTCATTTTGGTATAGTAAATATATTGTTGTCAGACACTTATAATAATGTTTCCTATACATTAAATAAAGATTTTATTGGTGTCAATGATTGAAATGATAAGAATGTATGAATGAAACTGGTATAAATATGAGCCGAGAACACGTCGAAATCAGACCAGGCGCTTTGTACCATTGTCTTAGTGCCTGGTCCCGTTTATGTTTGCATGTGGTATTTTTTTTTATTATAGGTGGTTCTTTAGCGGTTGCTAATACATACATACATACATACATACATCATGTTTGTTTGTGTGGTAGTATTTTATGTTCTGTTTTACTCCTTTTTCTCTTTCTTCGTGAGTGTAAGTTAAGTTAGTAAAACATAGGTAGGTGAGGTTAATTTATTATATAGGTAGGCTAGGGCATAAGGTAATTTAGTTACATAGGTAGGTTAGGGACTTATACTATTCTTTTACTCTCGTTTTTTTTGTGTTTTTTTGTTTTGTTTCACATCATACATTCAACAGGTACGCGGTAGTTCCTGGTTTTATTGGGATTTTTATCTATTGATTGTAGTTGTTTGCATGGTTATATAGAGTTTTATAGAGTTTGCGCGGTTTTATAGGGCTGATTTAAATATTTTATAGAGCTAATATTATATAGAGCTAATACTAACTATATAGAACTAATACTATATAGAGCTAATACTAACTATATAGAGCTAATACTAACTATATAGAGCTAGTATTATATAGAGTTGATACTAATTATATATATATACAGAGAGAGTTGCGCATATATAGAGTTATATAGAGTTTGCATGTTTATCTGTGGTTTGTATGTTTGTCTGCGGTTTGTGTGTTTGTGTGTGCTATTTTTTTTTTATTTTAGGTGATTCTTTAGCGGTGGCTCATACATACATATTTACATCATATTTGTTTGTGTGGTAGTATTATATGTTCTGTTTTACTCCCTTTTCTCTTTCTTCATGAGTCTAAGTTAAGTTAGTGAAACATAGGTAGGTGAGATTAATTTATTATATAGGTAGGCCAGGGCATAAGTTAATTTAGTTACATAGGTAGGTTAGGGACTTCTTTTCTTTACTCTACTCGGTGGTGTGTTTTTCCTTTTGTGTTTTTTTTTGTTGTTTTGTTTCACATCATACATTCAACAGATACACGGTGGTTCCTGGTTTTTTTTTTGATTTTTATTTATTGATTGTAGTTGTTTGCATGGTTATATAGAGTTATCTAGAGTTTGCGCGGTTTTATAGAGCTGATTTAAATATTATATAGAGCTAATATTATATATAGCTAATATTGTTTAGAGCTAATACTAACTGTATAGAGCTAATATTGTATAGAGAGAGCTAATACTAACTATGTAGAGCTAATATTATATAGAGCATACACATGACGCACATAAACACTCTGAGGGATCATAAGTTAGACAATTTATTAAGTAGGTTTATATAAACATACATACAAACACATAGATAAAAACACACATACTTGCACAAATACATACATACCGTACGTGCATACGTAAAAATACACACATATTTCGTTTACACACACACATACACCACACACACACACACCACACACACACACACACAGTAATTTAGAATCAAACAAAAATATAGGGTGGTGAGTGAAAGAGTTAGGTGATATATATAGGTGAGCTGAGTGAAAGAGTTAGACTTGAACATACGTCATACGTTGATAAGATCTGAATTAATTTAACACGGACTAAAATTAAATTAAAGATTTGAAAAAATTAATTGATCATTCTCGTTTTATTCCTCTTATTCATTTTGCGCGCATACACGCAGTACGCATACACATACAAAAAACAAACATGATACAAACATACAAACAAACAACCAAGTACAAACATGCACCCGGACTAATAAACATTGCACAGAATTTTATTTCTTCAATTTTATTGATTGTTAAAATTTTATTTTGATTTATTTGTCTGGGCAACGTTTTAATTTATTCACTATTAATTTATTATTTGCTCAGTCATTCGTTCGTACGCTCATTCATTCATTTTTGATGGATGAGAGGAGCTGCTTTTTTAACTACTTGTTCAGTTTTTTAATTTTTTATTTATTGATTTTTGTTATTTTATTATTTTTTTCGATAACTCAAACAGGTATTATCGCATAAAGAAAGTTGCTCATCATTCGCAGTTAACAGTAAACATAACAGTTATTATTAATGGACGGATGGATGGATGGATGAACGTACGAACGAACGAACGTATGAAATAAATAATTATTTTAAACAATAGATAAGCAAACAAAGAATGAATGACCAAAAACATGAAAAATTGAAGAAGCAAATCTTTCATCAACACTAGCATCATATTTTGTTAGAATAAGTAGCTCTTGCAACCGCTACGTTCAAAATTTGCATCTAGCTAACCTACCCATATCAATCATCCTTCCCATGCAAATGTATGTATACACATAAATTAAACATTTTCAAAATTTTGCCCCCCCCCCCCGTCAAGATTGTCAAGATCCGCCACTGATTACGAGTATGTTGTTTGTTGCACTTTGTTTTTATGTTATTTGTTGCACTTTGTTTTTATGTTATTTGTTGCATGTGTTTGTATGTTGTTTCACAGCTAATGTATTGTTCATAACATGAAATGTTTTATGGTTGAAATTCAATTAATTGCTTATCTGTTAGACATCATATAGACATTTTATTCTATAAAGAAATGCAATTGAGAATTAATTTGTTGTTTTCTGGTTGGGCTAAATATTGAAATTAGAACTATAAATGTTTTAAATAATAGTTCAAACAAATATAACGACAATCTACCGCTCTTTTACCTCGATGGTGTCAGCTTGACGACAGGACCAAAAATTTATCTATTCGTTGCTATAAATTTTAAATAGTTTTCATCAGCGTTCCACATTAAAATTTATGACTGAATACGTTTTGGGACATGAAAGTTGTGAGCTATCAAAAAAAAGTGAGCTGAAAAAGTTCCAGAGGCCATCATGAAAAACTTTGGAAGGTTGATTCCATGCACGTTGATGACCATAACAGAATGAGTAGGCAAATACGTGCTGAAAAAGCAATAGAAAAGTGAGAGAAACATGTATACTAATTGTAATTTATTAAATGGACTACCAAATGAAAGAAAGTAGGGGAAAGTTCCTAAAACGCACCCTTTAAGGAATTTTGGCTTGTAGCTGTTCCTTAACATCAAATACAATGGCTTATACTATTCCAATAAATGAAATGGCATGTAACAAGTGTGAAAAGAAATTGGCCCTCAATATTTCAAATAAAAACGACAGCAGGTCAAGAAAATATTTGGTTGAGAGGGTGCATTTTGGGAAAGGTTTTCCCAAAACGCACCCCCAGGTGCATTTTGGGACATCCAAGTAAAATTGATACAGCAAGCATATTAGGTGCTTTATAATTGCGATCTATCAAAATAAAGTAAAAAATAGGTTATAACAATAACACTGATTTACAAGGTTTTTTTTCTTGAGACATTATAAGTGATTCTAATAGAGTTTTTTATGCTGAAAATGAATATGAAAAAAAAAATTTAGACCAAAACCAGATTCAATTTTAGTTGAAATAAGTTTTGATAAAATGTTTATAAATGGCTCTGTTTCATTCAACAAAAATCACAAACAAATCCTCTAATCCCTTCATAAGACGTGCACTGTTCGTGCCACCATACATTACAACCACTGCACCGAATCCAATCTTCTGTTCCACCCACCTCATCACATCCTGGACAGATTTCATTATCTTTATTTTTCGGCGTGCGTTTGTCACTGTCAACAATTTTCTTCTTTGGCACAGTTTTCTTGGTTGTAGAAAAAGCAGATTGTGGAGGAGCTTTCTTCCCTCGAGCAGCCAAAGAAGCAGCCACAGTTTTCTTCAGCTTCTTTTTTTTAAGAATTAATTTTCTTCTGGCTTGATTTTCTACCTTCATTTGCTGCAGTTGATGCTTTTCCAACAGAGCTTGTTTGAAAGGTGTTGATGTCAGTGCTTCTGCTGCTTCAGCCTTTCTTTTTCCAGATCGAGGCTCGGCTTTTGGTAATGGAGACAATGATTGTATCATGACCTGAATTGAAGAACCTGGAACCACAGTGTCTACGACTGATGAACTTGCAACCACGGTGTCTGCGACTGATGAACTTGCAACCACGGTGTCTACGACTGATGAACTTGCAACCACGGTGTCTATAACTGATGAACCTGCAACCACGGTGTCTATGACTGCAATAATGACATTTAGGTTACATAATTGAAAAATTACCTAAATTTAACAATCTTTAATAGGTTAAAAAGGAAATGATGGACTAAATTGAAATAGTTACCTAAGTTGTTTTCAGTCATCAATGATGGTGCAAATTCTGCATCTGTGAAGATGTCGTTATTGTATGGCCAGATTCCTCCACTTCTAAAACCGGAAACGCCTTTGTCAATAGTTGCACATTTCATGTATGCAGTCCCAAAAATTCCTGCAATTTCGAAGAAAGAGATTCTTTTTCCTGGGTTTGAGATCATCCACTTGTCACATTCACTTCGATAATATTCTTTCAATGGACCAAAAAAAGTTAAATCTAGTGGTTGGATCCTGTGAGTGCAATGTGGAGGGAAGCTGATAAGGTCTATACCATGATCTCTGGCAAATGTAATGGCTTCTAGTGATTTATGGCTAGCATGTCCATCTACTAGAAGTATGACTTTTCTTTCCAGGGTTGACTTAACAACATCTGTGAAGTGCTTTAACCACTTCACAAAAACCTCACAGTCTGTCCAACCACTTTTGGTTGCAAAGCCTAATGTTCCTTTTAACAACTGAGGATTCATCCTTACTCGTGGGTAAATCATTGCCGGTGGTAAATAGGATCCATGTGCATTTACTGCGCATATTACTGTTACATTCTTCCCCTTCTCTCCACTCGTAATCTTGCCAACTTGTTTAGTGCCCTTCTTGGCAATAATACGCCTAGGCTTGTGGGCAGTCGTCACACCACTTTCGTCCATATTCCAAATCCTTGAACCATCCATGGTTAAATCTTTTTCAAGTGCATTTTTTAGGATATTAAAAAATCTTGAAACTTGAGGACGATTGAATGCAACTGCACGAGACACGCTAGTGACCTCCGGTTCATGAACTGACAACTCTGGGTGACGTTCAATAAATCCCAGCAACCATTTATTCCCTGCCATTTGTTTAGTAGAATTAAATGGATGAGGCAACTTCTTCATTTCCACCAACTGGAAGGCAAGTTTCCGAATGTCCATTGGTGTGAGGCCATAAAATCGTTGTTGCATTTCAATTGCATGATGGACAATTTCTGTCTCCATTTCATCCGATAAAATCGGTCGGAATCTACCAAGCTTTATACATCCTGGTTGTCGGATAGTGCCTTTCATATGTCTTTGAAGTGTTCGACATGGTATAGTATACTTTTTTGAAACACTGTGATATGATTGACCTTCACGTAAATCCTCCAAAGCTTTCTTCAAATTTTCTGAGCTATAATTTCCTCTTGTGCTTTTTTTTATGTAGTAACGACCCATCTGTAAATGATAGGAAAATGATTGTTTTAGTACATAATAAATATGTTAATAACAAAATTAGTAGGCATTAAGTAAGCAAACTGGTACCCTAGCATTGCATATCCATAGTATTTGTAAAAGGCAAGTATATAATTATGTCATAATTATGGTTTTTTAAGGCAATTTTGTGTTACAAATTATAATGACAACATTGTGATTGTAATATAATAACAATGTGGCCATTATAATTTGTAACATAAAACTACCCTAAAAGTTAAACCCTTAATTATTATGGTTTTAACTTTTAATTATTATGGCATAATAATTGAAAATATAATCATTATATTTTAATAATTTAATTTTATAAAATGTTCTTTAATTTTATTAAAAAATTGCTGATATTTTCCCAAGACGCACCTCATGGTGCGTTTTGGGAATCAATGGATGGTGCATTTTGGGAAAACTCACAGAACTCACGTAGACGACCATCTCGAAAATACCGTACAAAATATTGATATTATTTTAAATAGCATTTATTCACTACAGGATTAGCAACATTTTAAGATAATATATATTAAGAGATAATAATTCTGAATGACTACAGACGAATTTTAAGAATTGATAAAATTATCGAAAAAGGTAAGAAAACTTACTTTTGTTCGTGAAGCAGGCTCGTATTCAAAACAAACGCGCTTTCGATATTAAAAGTTTACTTCCGATAGACCAAAAGCGAATGGAAATAAAAATTCAAAATTTATGGTACACGTTATTTGAATTTCACTGGGGGTGCGTTTTGGGAGTGGAGTGCGTTTTAGGAACGCTCCCCTAAATACACATATAAACATTTTATATAGAATAAGAAATTAGAAAATTTTTCAGCTTACCATACAAATTTTCTCTTTGTGTTTACTTAAGCTAATTTTGAAGTGGCAACAAAATATCCGTAAATTTTTATTTTGGTGTTATTTTAAAAAATATGTACTGCTTTTATAATAATCAATTGTCAATTTTAATAATTTTATAGTTTATATTTAATAATTTATTTCAAATATGGCAACGTCACGACGATTTTTAGTAAGCAAAACGTATGGCGAGAGCAGTGATTGTTCTTCCTCCAAAGCGTTTGATGAGGCCATGAAGATTAAACCCCGAAGCACATTCAACAAAATCAACATTCAGGCAGCTTCCACCGTTTCAAAATGGGGTAAAATGACATTCACGTCGACGAAAATTTCCAGTGTAGATCACAAATTGGATAGCAGAAAGCGTGAATTTGCCAATGAGCCAGAAGATCCATTCTCTTTTGAACCTGAATTTAGTCCTTGTAAAATTAAACGGACTGAACCAGCAACTCCGCTGCTTGCAAAATTTTCTTCATCAGAGAATACAGTGGTGGATGTTAGACGAAAAGTGGAAGTAGATGAAGTTCTGCATCCTTCAAATAACATTAAAATCACAAACACAGGCAACATCAGTTTGGATACAAAACGAAAGTTTTATAAAAGTAAAAACAGCGCAAACAATAATACTGAAATAAAATTGAAAATAAAGTTAAACCAACCACTTGAGTCTCCGATCAATGAGTACTCAATAAACCATGAGGATTCTATTGAGTTAACTTCTGCTTCACATTATAACAAAGTTGACCACAAACCAGTAACAAATAATAATGTATATAAATACAATCCTGATAGATTTGTTGATCAGCCAAAACAAAAATTCACTCCACCTTCTTTGGAAGACAAAACAGCTATTAAGAAGAAGTGCATTGATATTTTTCCTGATGAAAAAATTTATGAGACAGATTGTCTGATTGATGACTTTGGAACAAAAGATCATTCAACTAGATATTCAGACAAACAGTCAACTACAAATGCCCATAAGCAGTCAACTACAAGTCACAAACATTCAAACAAACATTCAACTACAGGTAACAGCAACAACAAACATTCAGCTACTGGCAACAATTATGCTCATCAAAAAGTCATTAAAAATACAAATAAAAATACTGTTACTAATGATAAAAGTGCAGATTTAAACATAAAAACTGATTCCACCAATAAATTTGCTGATACTAAAAATACAAGAAACAATGCAAAATTTGATAAGAAAGTAACTGATAATGTTAATAATAATTTGTGTACTGATATTAATACATATAATAATGAAAAAATTAGCCATGATGAAAATGTTGTAAAGAATTTAAATGACATAGAAATTGATGATGATAAAAATACAGTCGACAACAAGCTAGAACCTGCTAAAAATTTGCATCAAACACATAATGGAATGAACTTGCATATCATGAAAGATGCTCCTAAAAAATCTTCCACGGCCAGGAAGTTATTGTGCTCAAAATCGGTGATGTTTTCAAATAATTATTTTTTTTTCACAATATTTTCATTATTTTTTCATTATTGGCTTATAAAAATTTGTTAGTTATTGAATTACATGATCTCATAAGCACGACACACTAGTTGTGTTATCTTAAAAAAATGACAGACAGTCAGTTATTAACAATAACAGAATATGATGGCAGGTTAATTTTATATTAGAATATGCTTTGACTTATCAGGACTTTTTGATTGTAACTTTTTAAATCGGGTTTTAAAGTATTTTTTGAGCCCGTTAAAATTTGTCAAAGAAAGTTGAAGGGTTGCCATCAGAATTTATTTTTGAAAATATGACCTTACTCTGTACTGTGCATATTAAATGGTAAAGAAGACAATTCTTTTTTTTTCAGATAGATTCTCAATCATGTTTCTTGGTGTATCAGCAACAGTGCAAACATTGTTAATTCAAACTCAAAAAAAATTATTATATTTTAAATAAAAGTAATTATTCCTTTTTATTCGATCTAATTAATAAAAGAAAAAATTTTCCTTATTGCAGACATCTCAGAAGAAAGCCAAATATAAATACAGAATGTGGCATGAAGATGATAATGAAGTTAGACAAAGATTAATTAATTAATTACTTAATTAATCGTTAATCACATAATTATATAATCTCTTTCATATTGGTTTTTATGGCCAGTTCTTATCTCACTGATATGAAAATGTTAATGTGCCAGTTGTCATAATTGCAACACTGCAACACAGTGCAATCATAATACAAATACACCATGGTTCATAATTTAGTTTTTTTTCTCAACTAATTCATTTGCAATTATTGAATTATTAGAGTAAGTAATTATTAAATATATATATTTATATAATGAAATATAAATGAAATATAAATTAACATTTAATCTTGCACAAAGAAGGATGATGTCATTGACGAGGATGTTGATGAGGATTTTCCTGTTTTCAAAAAACCGTCATCTTCAACTTACACTAAGACCAATTGCCAGGAGGAGGAACCATGCACTCAGGAGTCAAATAACCAAGTCATCATCATTTTCATTTTTATTTATATATTTTCTGTTTACCTGAAATTAGATATATTAGTATTTTTTATTTTATTTTCCAAAAATATCTTTACTTCTGTCAGACAGTTTATTTTATTTTGATGGCAATGATGATAATGTGTTGATAATAATGTTTCATCAATGAATTGCTTCATGATTATACCATTTACCTTGATGACAACTACGATGATGAAGATGATGAATGATAACACCACGCAGCAGACTCAGGTAGTTAGGGATGTGAAACAGGCGCACGAATGCCAGGAGTCAGGCGAGACCCAGGAGTTTGAAGACGACATTGAGTTCATTATGGATGGCTTGAATCCTAAACAGAAGTTGTCCATCAGGTGTTTAAGGTTAACCACTGAGTTGTAACATTTCCTCAGTGATTTTATGCCGACAATTGTGTTATCAACTTTATTCAAGCTAACTGATATTAAGGGTAGTGAATGTTATTGAAAAATTTTATTACCATTTGTTACTCAGTGCATTAAGTTTGCTATCGAAATGTACATCATCTGTATTTCGGATGCATCTGAGAGCTCATGGAACACTATCCCAAGTCTTCAAAAGTCTTTCAGATGCTCCTGATTGCCCAGTTTGTTTATCTTTTTTCAATTTGTAATGCTGTTGCTGTTGTTGTTTAAGGTTGCTGTAGTTGCATGTGTTATAGTTATCTAATTTGTTGTGGATTAGATGTTATAAGGTATGTACTATAATTTCATATAAGATATCTATTTTTTTCATTGATGATAGCTGTAGTTATTAAATTAGCACATTTTGTTTGAGACTTGAGTTCAGGTTGATGCATATTTCATTATCAAATTTTTTTGCATTTTTATGAATTATAAACAATACATTGTGTATCAAACACAAATAAAAACTAAGGCAATTTTACAACAGACACAACACTACATTAAAATGACAGGCCTTAAGTCTCTGCGTTGCCTGTTTGTTCTTCTTGATGTCTCGTGATCGATTGTTTGTTGACATGGAAAGGTCGAGTTACGAGTTGATGCTCAAGTTGCTTGATGTCGATGATTCCATCTCAACATCTCTTTCAACATCAAATAAATCATCATCAACAACAACTCAAATCTCAAATACGTCAACAACACAGAGCAACAACAATGCTCCTGTTAAAAAAGCTTTATTTTTCAAAAGTAAACATTCTAAAAAGAGCAATGCCAACGAAGATTACGATGATGTGCAGAGAAAAGTCTTCAACATTTGTTGCAGCTCACAACATCAACAACAACAGCAGCAACAGCAGTCTTCAGATAAAGCTCTGTTTGATCTAACTCTTGAACAAACCATGGTATGGATGCACATTTTCAGTTTAAAACATTTAATTGCCTAAGTCACATCATGAAGCACTCTCATTATAATTAGGTCTCTGTCGGGTTTAGTCTTATTTACAAACATAAAAATTCGCCTGGATGGAGCCAGATTTGTGATTCAGTTGCATTTCATGTTGTAACGTGTGACTATAGCTTCAATAGCTTGCCTATATTAGTCTCAAACCTGGCAAAAAATATTGTATATTACATCTTTTTCAACGACTTTACAAATTCATTTCAATCTAATACAAATTGAATCAGTAGTTCTTTATCAGTTTCTGTAAATTTTGTTATATACAAACATGCACAGAGAATAAGTTTACATTAATACCTACTTGTAAAAGAAAAATATGTGTGTGCTACTAACATATTTTGAAACGCAAATTTCTCACTTTGTGTCAAGGTAATTTAAAGGTAATTAAGAATCAATCAATTTTGCTTGAAATAAATTGTGCATATATATTGCAATACCTTCATTGACTATTAAACACTGACATACATGTTCACAGAAGAATGTACAATTTGTAAATACTTACATACATACATAAATACAAACATACACAGAAACATTTACACATACAAAAATTGTACATTCAAACTTGAGTAGCAGTTTTGAAACAAAAATCTAATTATAATATTTTCCATCCTCAAATAAGTTTGTAACTTTTTAATTAAAACTAGATGACAATAAATTATTTAGAGTAGCTGTCTTGTTTTATGTGCACAACATTCTAGTTATTTCAAACTGCTAGGCTGAAGATGAATATTGATTTCATTTATAGATGTTGATCTATTCATTAACGTTGGTGCTATTTTAAAATTATGATGTTTCTACTGAGTCTGGATATTGTATTTAAATTTCACTTCTATGTGTTGATATTTTTCAAGAACATTGTTAACAAACAATCCCATGCCCTTACATACAAACGCGTACACACACACACACACACACACACACACACACACACACACACATATGCACATACACACACACACACGAACTCATGCAACTGTAACACAGACCAGCAGGATAGCAATGGAAGCTCTATTGAGGTTCTCATCTAGGAAGGATGCAGACGTTCTGAGAGATGATCTCAGAATTCTTGGTGGATTTGATAGGATCATTGATGCCAGTATGTTTGTCTGTCTGTCTGTCTGTCTCTGTGTCTTTGTTTTGTTTCGTCTTACTGTATATTTGGGGTATATGTTTTTATGTTCGTCTGTGTACATATGTTTTTATATGTGTATTGTATGTGTATTAGTTTTTCTGTGAGTATGTGTTTTGATTGCGCAATTGCTCTGATGGGGCTGTATGTAAGCATGCTGTTATTTAGGGGGATGTTTTTCGAATGTCTATGAAATTATCATTTTCCATCTTATCCAATCACAGCCTGCCTTTCAATCGACGAATTTGATGGGTACTATGATCGGAAAAGAACTGATGCGTACGATGATGATGATGGTGATGATGGTGGGGAGAAGGATAAGATAGCAGTGGAAGTTGATGGTGGCCTAGACATTTTCAACATGAAGTTAATGAACAAAATTGAAAATTTCTTTCAAGTACTTGCTAATGTACGTTCGTTCGTTTCAAATTCACGTTGTTAATATCCAAAATATTAATGCCAATGATTGATTGATTGTTGTCAATATTATCGTTCATTTCCTTCTTATTTGTGGTCCTTTTCTTGGCTAGTTCATAGCTGGTGGAATCTGATGAATTATTAAATTATTGATTTATTTTAAATATTTTTATATCTTTTATTAACTTTAAAAAATTTTACTTTCATTTGTTAGGTAACCAATTTGAATGAAGCAAATCAGACTCATCTAATAATGCACAAGTCAGCTACAATAATTACTCATCTTGAAAGGCTTGTTTTGTTTATTTTTATTGAATATTAGATTGATTGATTGGTTGGTTTGCTGATTGATTGGTTGGTTAGTTGGTTGATTGGTTGGTCGGTCGGTCGTCGGTTGGTCGGTCAGTCGGTTGGTTGGTTGGTCGGTTGGTTGGTTGGTTGGTTGGTTAGTTAGCTGATTGTTCGGTCGGTCGGTTGGTCTTTATTTTTTTAACTAGCTGGTTCGTTGGATTATTGGTTGAATGAAAACCCTCTTCAAAATTAATTTTTAATAACCTGCCGCTTCTTTAATTGTTAAACAAGTTTATTGTTACATTTTAATGCAGATGTCTTAAGAGGTGCGTGCAATATTTGAAGAAAGCCAAATTCGTGGAAGTTAATGGAAAGCTGGATAAGGAATGTTCTGGATACATTGTGTACAATCTCATCATCTCCCTTCTAAACGTATTCATCAACATCACACACGATAATAGTATGCCATGCTTTTGCCGCTACAGCTGTTGTTGATTGTGTTGTTGAAGGCTGTTGTTTAATAATTAATCATTTGACGTAATGATAATGACGAGTAGCATAATATTAATGATGTTTAACGATTATGTGTTATGTTAAGATAACTGTAGTCTCAAATTCTAATGCTTGCATTATCATTTATTAAGCACTAAGGAATGATGCAATGTAGACAGATGATGGAAAATTAATGTTTATGAATGTTTTACAATACAGCATGTGGCAGTACAAAGGCTGGGTCTTCAATCCAATTGGTTGAAAATTTGTTCACATGTCTATTGACAGCCAATCAAAATTTGCCTGCCTGTTGTCAGTTTGACCTGATAGTTCTGGTTAGCTGGTTTTATGGATTTATTTTTCCATGTACAACTTGACAAATATGCAGGCACATATACAAACTCAGACAAAAGGTATACAAATGTACGCTCACAAGTAACCTACCACTCATACAAATGCATACTCTTGCATTCGGCCACACATACATACACTGATGTTTAAATATGCTTAGCCACGCATACTGTTTTGCATTCATACACACATACACGCACACATACATACATCACGATACGTACATCCTGCAGTGTTTGGGTCTGCTGATAAACTTGGTGGAGCACTGTAGGAGCAATTTGAGGATCTTGCTGGATATTCATCTACCACATTCCTCCTCTCCGGAAAGTTCGTCATTGAGAGCTCTAGGAAATGTTCGTTTGAATTTGTTTGCTTAATAAAACAGCTTCACTGGTTTGCATTTATTATTCTTTTTTATCATTTTATATATACACGCGTAAGCCTATTCGTGTTTGATTTGCTTATTAATATAAATAATAAGAAATATAAATAATAAGAAACCATAAAATTTGTGCTTGGCTTCTAGAAAGTTATTTTTAAGCTTATAGACTGGATCAACAATAGATGTCGAGCATAAATATTTACATTGTCGTCGTCATTATCATCATCACACTAGATTTTGTTGGTAACATTTTAGTGATAGCGGTACAATACAATCTATCCAGTTTTTCACCTACCATTACGAATCTGCACGGCAATTTGAAGAGGAGCACGACGCTGAGTTGGAGAAAGAACAGCAGCTACAACAGCAGCAACAACAACGACAGTTTTCAATCGACAACAACAACAAAAACACATTGGCGAACAACAAACTGGTCGACTGCAGTGGAGAGTGGGTGGAGTCAGAGATGGGTGTGGAGTGGGTCAGTCATCACCTCAACACTAACAGCAATAATAACAGTTATGATGATGATGAAGATAATAAAAATAAAAGCAACAACAACAACAAAATAGCTCTTGTTAATAATCACGCTAAGAGGGGCAGGCAGATTGCAGATGGTCAAAATCATAGACTCAATTCCCTCTTCAGTCAGGACAATGATTCCATAAACAAAGGTCAACCATAATTTTTGTCTGTCTTCATTTTCATTGTAAAAAATTAATTTTTTTTTAAATATTGCTTATTTGCTTTCAAGCCATACAAAATTAAAATATCATCCAATGAGCTTTGTCGCGGTGATTATTGATAACATTGTCAGTTGTTTCTTGATTGCAGCACTAAACAAGGCAGGCAAGCACATGGAAGACAGTGTGGTGGCTGCCTACGTGGCACTCCTCATTGGTTGCATTGTACAGCACGACCTGGTTAGCTACTTATGCTCCAATAAATATAACGTGATTCGCTTTTAAACAGGGAACAATGATCAAAAAGTATAAAAATATATCGAATTGATAAAATTGTAGGTATATAATAGGAATTAAATATGCTGGGTGTGTGTATGAATATTAGAGCTATTGGGAATGTGGCGGTTTCATCTGTTTGATGTTACTACGTGTTGAACATTACATCCATGCAGGACCTCGCAGAACAAGTTAGGGACACCCTGCCTGATTACAGCTTTGAATCACTGTCAAGAATGTTGAGGAAGTTTTATAACTTCATGAATCTTACCGTAAGTTATTTGCCGTATCGTGTTCACGTTTATGTATTTTACGCTATAAATTTACACCAATGAAGTTATTTATGTTTGCAATCAGATCTTGTAATGATAATACTCATAGGATAGAGATAACAATATGAAAAATATATCTTAAAACATTTCATAACTTCGCCACAACAGCAAGGGATGCGACCATCTTGCGACAAATCCATACTTCAAGTTCTGGAGGTTCTTGATTCATGTTAAATACAAATTTGTTGATTTTATTATTGATTTTTTTTCGCAGTTCTTAAAAACTTTGTTAAACAATTGATGTGTGTGTGTAATGAATGGTAGCATGTGTGTGTTGTACAATACTGTATTAATGTTATACCATTTAATTTATATGCATGCATATAAATGATTAATTTATCATTCTAATCAATTTGGTTTTTATGATCTATGTACATTTATGTATATATTTTAGTAAATTTGATTTTATTGTTTTGTCTTATCATCTTTACAGATAGTGTTTAATTTAGTTTTTTAAGCATAAAATTTAGACAATTTTTTGTTGCGACTCTATTAATATTTGTGTAAGTAAGTGAGAACAGTACATATGAACTTAATGAAGCCTTGATTTTTTAAATGTTTCATATTTTAACCGACATGTTGTAATTTTATCATCTATCGGTCATAACATATTTTTGAATGCTGTCATTATATTCATATGAATTTTTGAAAATTTTAATTTCTTGCTTGTATTTTGTAAAAAAAATGATTTTAATTTAATAGTTTGCCGAAAACGAAATTGTTGCAAAAAATGTACCAAGCGCTGACGAGAATAAGCTGTAACGTGCTGCAAACGAGGGGGCTCTTCACAAACAAGCATTCTTTGGTCAAATTTGATTGTTAGCTTTTGCGTGACGCTCGTAAATAATAATGTTTGCTAGCAAAATTAAACGATAAACACGCCGTTGGTTGAGTCTGGCGAGTGATAAAATGAGATTTTTATCGCTAGAGAAAGCATTTTTTTAATATTGAAAAGATTACCATTATATGTTTTTGGTTTGAAATTAATGATAGTTTTGATAATTTTTGCGTCATTCTTCCTTCGATCATTCGATTTTAAAACATTTGCGCCTGAAGATATGATGCCTTTTGAAGAAATGAGCAAATTCAAAAAGAAACCCTTGCCAAGAGAATATTTTTCTAAATTTTCTCTTCTGGCTGAAAACTGGAAACTTATTGAAGATGACAACTACACCGTTGTAAATTGTTTGCCGGAAGGTGCAACTCTAGTGAGAATAAGCGATCCCCGCTACAAATGGTTCGGTCCATATAGTGACGAAGTGGAAGTGGCCAACGATGTTTTCAAACCAATCAGCAACGGCAAATTAGAAATTATTCGTGCTAGAATTACACATTCTGGTACTTACATCTGTTTAATAACTTCACAGTCAAATGCAGAATTTGAAGTAACATACTCTCACACCTTTGCAGTTTTCACAGTTCCTGATATATTTTTATTGAGACAATACTACATGCGGTCTGAAAAGTGTTCTCACGAAGCTCAAATAAGGTGGGCTGATTTGGCAATTCGAACGTATTGTAGAGGGGCTGAAGAATGTGACTTCAAAGTTGAAATCGATACTTGTATTGAGGCAGCTGAGAAAGAGTTTGAAACGAGATTTTCAGTTTATCAGAAGGTACCATCTCAAGTTTATAAAAATCTTTTACCAGACTGCGGGATGGATTGCAAATACAAGACACTAAAAAAGTCATTACAAGAAGCGTCAACCGGTCTTGCTCAAGAATTTCACTTAAATCTCGTCAGAGCTTACAGTCGGCAAACTGATGAGCTGCGATATCAATCGAAAGAAACAGAAAGTAGTTTTTTCGGTTATTGTCCCGATGGTTACGAAAAATTTAATGACCAGGTTTGTGTTCCGTGTGATAAGGGAGCTTACCGAGAAGTGGGCAACGATTCTCAGGAATGTACGACTTGTGGAATTTTTCATTATAACGATATGATTGGACAGACATCTTGCACCAGATGTCCAATATTGAAATTAACAGTTCGATACGGCAGTCCCATAAAGACGGATTGTATATACTTTTTTAAATCTTGGGCAGTCATGACAATTGTTGGCGTGGTTGTTTTAATTTGTGTCCTACCCATGATTTATTGCGTGGTGTTAATAAGGATAATCACAAAAATCGTCGTACACATATTAACTAAAATGTGTTGCTCTCTTAAACAAACGGGTGGTCAAAAAACCGCTGAAGGTTTGCAAGAACAGAGAAAAGTTTTAGGTGGAGACGACTCTCCTCAACCAGCTGGGCCAGGCCCGATGAACCCTCGAGCCGCTACCATGACACGACCTCAACGTCCTTTTATGAACAATCGGATGATGGGTGGAATGAACGTACCACCCCAGATGATGGGTGGAGCACCGTCGATGGGTGGAATGTACGCACCTGGCGGCATGTAACAATAATTGAGTTTTCGTGGACTTTATTGGGTTTTTCTTTTCAAATGAACTAGCATTAATCCTTAATCACATTTTATTAGGTTTGATTTTATTGCATTGTGTTTTTCATTTCACGTGATTGAAAAGTTTCAAAACACATTATCAATTGAAATAGTTTCTTTCGATTTTATCTTTCGTTTAAAACGGGACATGTTTTGAAATTTTTGCTCAAAACAATAATACTCTTTAAAAATAGTATAGGCACACACGAATTATCATCACGCACACACAACCATTAGTGAACACAAAATAATTTCAGCAAATGAAAATATTAAAAGTGCATGCGCAGGTAGGGTAAATTGAGCTCTTTTTTGTAAGTCTGAAAGTGTAATAGTTAAAAAAAATTTAATCTTTAAATGTTGGAAAAAATTTTAGTAATATTTTAACAGTCATTTTATTTGATCAACTCACTTGATTAACGGACGTTTTCGTGTAAATGTTGTTTGAAAATGATTCGTTCATCTTCGCGCCTATTTATAACAAATTTTTGCAATTATTTTTTAGGCGAACGTTAAAATAGAATGTAAGGAACCTTTGTTGCCAAAAACTTGCGGCAGTACCAAATTATTTTTACTGCAGGCAGCATTCAGTAGGCCATCATCTTTTGCTTTGAAGACCATGGACTCGTTCGGAAACATCTGAGATTGCATCTTCATCGTCTCCCTTTGTATTTATTGTTTCGCTGTTTTTTAATCTAACTTAAATTTTTTGTTTTTCAAACGTTGATTTTTGTAATATTTTAATAGAAACGTAATAAATAGAGATTATACGCACCTACATTATTATTAAATCAAAAAGCAGTCGACAAAACAAGCAAACGAAAAGAACTGATGAGTTATTAAAGGTTATTTTCTTATAGGTTATATCTAGTTATTATATTATAATATAATATACTAGGTTATTTATAGTTATAATATTATTTACTTTCTTGGGCGTTTGCACTTATCGGCGGCTACACAATCTTTCAACTCGGTTGTTGGGGATGTTTCGTCTGATGCAACACTTTCGTTCATTGTTAAGGATTCCTGCAAATTTGTGTATCAACTTTTGGTTAAATTAGTTTTATATATAACAAACATTAAAACTATAAAGTAAATGTTAACAAAATAATAAAATAAATAATAAGCAAATAAAATTTCAGATAATTCAGAAAAGTTATCTGTAAATTTGTTTATAAATTAAAACTGAAAGCATGAAAAACCCTGTGGTTGTCTAAAGGATATTTGTTCATGTTCACGACTGATTCGTTTGAATATTTTTCGTCGATGTAACTTTTCATAACCATCTTTCTGTGATGTTTTTTATCGCTTCTTTTCATCCTAGAACCATTTTCTTTCTCTATGATGGCCTGCAACTCTTTCGGAAATGTCAGATGGAAGTCAGTTTTTGTGAAGAAGCTGGAAATTAAGAGGTTCTGGCATGATGGCCGGTCGTTGGCATTCATTTGCAGGCATTTCTTAAAAGTAGATTTTGTTTTTTTAACATGTATTTTAATTTAAATTAAAATTCGGCCAAACATTTAAATATTTAAGCGTTGCTGCTGCGAAAGAGTTCATATTGAAAGAAATTCTCCGTTAACATACAAAAAGTGTTCCATGCATCTATGTCACATGTATGCATGGATGTATACATGATCAAATGTAGGCGTCAAACTGAATTAACAATTTTGTTAGCAACCTTATCGTATAAAACCCACTTTTATTTCCTTGTTAAAATATATAGATGTTCAATCTTTTATTAGGAACGTAAAATACGTGAAGTAAGGACAGGTACATCTAAAAAGTCAATAGCCTCTTCGGTCATGTTGTGTTTGTAACGTTCTTGTAACGTCTGCCACTTGCTAACGTGCGGTAGTTTCGTGCCTCTGAAGATGTCATTGCGTGTGTAGATCTCCTCCAGGTGTGGCGTCAAGTTGCCTTTTAAATGGATGAATTATTATTTGGCGGGTTATTCTAATGGATAAACAAATGAACACACGAAGAGATGACGGGATGAATAAAAGAATTGATAGACAAGTTACTGAATTGGTAAAAACAAACAAATAAGTAGGTGAATATTCATTATTGATGTCAATAACTTGTATGATGAAAAAAGCAGAATATCTACTTTTGAACTGACCGAGACATTTGACGATAACGAATAGTTGATCGAGGTCTGAATTGCCGGCGAAGACAGGCTCACCTGATAACAATTCACCAGCCACGCATCCAATCGACCAAATATCTACAGACCTGTTTTTGTTGTCAACTTTTAATAAATAATTATTTTTTAATTTTATAAGATATATAAATTACAAAATTTTATATACATTTAATTGTGTCTAACACTATGATATGAGATTATGATACTTAATATTAACAAACCAATTAAAAATAGAATCATCATGCAATCGATAAGGCCCAAACATACGCTGAGGTTTATGCATGCAATGATGACAACAAAGTTTGCCGTGTTAAAAGGAAAAAAGAATTTATCATATTTAAAATTAGTAACACAATTTACATTAACGACGATTAAGCAGTTGGTTTTATTGATTGACAAAAGAATCAAGCAAGCAATAACATTCACACAACACCTTTTCTTTATTTGAAACGTAATTGTGTATATTTGCACTTGATCATAAATCAAGCTTATTTATTTATTCCAATTAGGAGTTATCCACAGGTAGGTACGCTGCTGAACTAACGGCAAATGAAACTTGTTGGGCCTAATATATCAACTGTGATGATGATTATTATTAATAAGTTAGCACGTGATAAATCCTCAAGAGAGGATTGAGCCCATCCTACTTGATTTGTATCAAACATTGTCAATCGTTTTAAATAACAGAAAATGTAATTTTTTTACAAACATGGTAAACCTAAAGAAAATGAAGTTTTGATATTTGATAAGTTGTAACTGATAAAACTTTGAAATTTTTCATGTTTAAGAATACTCATAACAACATTTCATCATGCAAAATAATATTGAAGTTAGCTTTCAACAAAAACAAGAAGCTTTCTAAACAAATCCAAATTTAATTTTATAAAAAAACATAACCATATTCAAAAATATAAAGAAAAAATTATTACAAAAAAATAAAATAAAAACCTAGGCAGCCATAAATTTGTAGATCTCTCAGACCGGCGGTAGCTACTTAAACGACGACGTCTGTTTATCGTTAATTCGTTCAACACTTGGCACCTGTGTTGCAACTACCCTGCATTATTTATCAACCAGGCCTCTACATTGATTTTTCGTTTTGACGCTTGAGCAAACAGCAAATAAAAATTTCTATTTTTTTGGTTCTTCTCCACCTTTCTTTCTTTTCTTTTCCTTTCTGTCTCTCTTTCTTTCTCTTTCTCTCTCTATTTCTCTCGGTCTCTCTCTCTCTTTCTCTCTTAACTGTTTTCAGGACTCACGCAAAGAGATACTTGCTTGACAAATAACATTGCTGTCTATGATGACATGCAGCAGTCCTAGTCTTGGATGGGTCAACAATTGTAGCAACTTTCATTTTCATGATTTTTTAGCATAAAAATTGACTTCAAAAATATGACATAGGTTTACAGAGAATCAAAATTGTGTGAATGAATTTGACCAACATATTCGTCAAATTAAAAAAACCGTAGACAGGTACGTTTTCCAGGCTCATGTTCGTGAAGGGCTAACAAAATTGATGCTTCCATCGAATCGTTCGTACATAATTTAATTTGTTATCATACTGACCATCACATTAATAAGAAATGACGCTGATTAAGATATTAACGTTCGATTAAAAATTGCTGAAGTTAGTATGTTATTCAGCACATTTCGAAAGTTATTGTTGTTATCCACCGCAATTATAACCCAAGTCTAAATATCTGATTGAAATGTTAGCAGGCAAACAACTGACCTTCCATACCTGACCTCTCCTACAAGAAGTTCAGGGGCACGGTACCATCTTGTGGCCACGTAATCAGTGAGGATGGTGTCGGGGTGGTTGAGGGTGCGTGCGAACCCAAAGTCACAAAGCTTCACTATGCCACTTTTGCTCATTAAGATGTTTTCTGGCTTAATGTCCCGGTGTAACACCTGTGATTTTTTTTATATTCATATTGTCGTCTGTGTGCTTCAGATTTGACCTTCTAATGTTTAGCCTATATAGCGCTCAAAAACGTAATTCATTGAAAATTTTTAACGTTTCACAAGCCGCCATAAGTACACATGTGCGACAGGCAGGCTTGTTTGTTTGTAAAACGACAACTCATCAGCCAAAAATTGAGAACGTCTTTGCATTTGAACCAGGGCATCAATTCGTGTATGTACTTCCTTATATTTATTTCTGCAAGTGCAAACGTTTTTTACTGCCTCTAATGGCAACAATTTTATTTTAACTAATTTAAAAAATTTTCACATCAGATTTCATAGTTTAAAAAAAATTAACGTTTTTATCGTGGCAGAACTTGAGGCCCCTGAGCACCTGCCACATGATGCCCCTCACCTCGGGCTCTATCATTCCCGTCAGGTGGTTTTCCAACTCATCTGCTACTGACTTCTCCAAGAATTCGAAGACCAAATAAATTTTCTTCTTGTGGTTGAAGACTTCCAACAGGTTGACGAGATTATCGTGGTTTAATTGCTGTTTCAAGTGTTTGAAAGAATGAGCTGGTGGGGTGTGGTCGCGAATTAGTGAAATTTTTGGAAAAAAATTTGTTTAAACTTTTGAACTACTGTATAATTGAATATGCATTTTTTAATTTAATTTTTAAATTTTTTTAATAAAATTTTTTAACGATTGATTGAGTATTGCACTTTGCTATAATTTAATGCTAAATGTAAAACCAAATTATGAAATTCAATTTCCAATACAAGACAAATTTATAGAAGTTAATGATAAAACTATGTCTATATACCAATTTTCATTAAATTTAAAAATTAATTTTCAAACGATTATCAAAACAATTAAATTATTTCAACGAACGAACGAACTTTGAGCATCTTAATTTCTCGCATGGCGATTTTCTTAACGGCCTTATCTCGGTCACTGTCTGGAAACTTTTTGATGGCCACCGTTTGACCTGACTCAACATTGCGGCACTTCGACACCAATCCATAACTACCCTCGCCTAGGAAACCAAGTTTAACGTACTTTTCCATTATTTTTATTTTAGTTTCCTGACTTTAAAATCCTCTCTCACGTTTGGTAGAAATGAATGGCGGTTGTCGACTTGCACGTTGGTGAGAATTGGATAGATTTTAATTTGAAAATTTTCTAAATTATGTTTCACTCATTATATTTAAAATTAGCATTTTTATGTTGTTTATAATATAATATAATATGAACATAATTTATATTAAACATTATTCATTGTTACATATTGTCTGGTGTAGGTAAAGTGATTACAATTAGTTTTTAAAGTGTTTATAGCATAGATGCAACTGTACAATCAACAAATGTGTAACTTTTCACAAAAACTTTGCTGCTTTATATAACTTTATGGCCTTTACTACTTCATAATATACAAAATCCAGATTAAATATCACGACAGCATTGCAGAAAGTAATAACGAACTTTATATATATATATATATATATATATAATAATTATAACATTTACAATACCTTAATTACAATATATGTATACTATACATATACATAAACATAACATACATATACATTTATATGCATATACATTAAAATATTTATGAGAAAATAATTGCCATTGTTCGCACTTACCCCTTAAGAAGTGATATAAAAATTTGCACTGAAGGCAGGGAAAAAAATACCCGACCTATGGAAATGTGAAGCACACACTTTGACACTACAAAACTCCTGGTCCAATCATCAATAATTGAATAGCAGCCACAAACTCACAATGCTGATAACGTTCCAACCATAGATTAAATATTTATATCATTTAATTGATATTTTATTTTTTATCTATCATCTACCGATCGATCCACCGAAACAAAATATTTCATTGCTTTTATAATTTGGTCGCTCTATCATTCGTTCTTTACTCTCTTTCTCTCTCTTCTCTCTCTCTCTCTCTCTCTCTCTCTCTCTCTCTCTCTCTCTCTATCTTATTTTTAATACACACGCACGCACGCACGCACACACGCACACACGCACACACACACACATACATATATAATACGAAAATAAATGTCATACAATAATATACAGTTTATTATTATTCATTCAAACATATTTATTGTATTACTATCTAGGATTTTTATACTCTCCCATAAATGCAAAAAAAATGAACGCCATATTAATATTTAATGACCATTCAGTCGTAAGTCAGTTCGATCGTTTATCAATTGCAATCAGAATATTCAGCACTCTCTTGCGTGCTTCCATACTAGCAATATACAATAGTATGCAGTTCTACATGTGTAACACTGTACGTACATTACAATACAATACTATACAGTACTAGACGTTTAATACTATACATTTCATTGCCATACAATACTATATAATACTGGGTAGCACTGTTGATAGCACCGCGTTATATACGACATTATTAGGCCCATTAATTTAGTGTTATTGGGTTTCTAGCTGATGGCCATATAATGCGGTTAATATTATTATTGTAGCCTTTCTTAAAAACTGTTTTCTCTTTTTTATTGATAATCTTTTTGTTGGATAAAAATTTTTCTTTTGTGTCGATATTGTTAAAATATTTATAGTATGATTATAAATAATAGCCGGATGAGTGAGTTAATCACTCAAACTATTTGTATGAAGGGGAAAAAATCTGAATCTAAGATAGATTTTTTGTATGTTTCGGTAATAAATAAAGTTCTGTAATTAATTATCATTTCTGAAGAATAAGTTAATTACAGACAACGCATTCGCTGATAATTTGTAATTAATGTTAAAAATGCGGGTTATGTAAAGCGCTATATAAGTGCCAAAAATAATAACACAGTGTATCAAGAAACATTGAAATTTCAATTAGTTACTTTGCAAACAGCATGACGAATTAAGGTGATTATTATTTTTGGGCAGAGAATGATTTAGACCAAATGATTTTTTTTACTTTAATTTTGTCTTGAATGAAATAATGTCAAACAAATCGATTTAGATTATGTTTTAAATCATATATTTATATGCTAACTAATTAAATCATCAATTAACTAACTAATTAATTGCATAATTAGTTATAATTAATAAGGGTTCAAAAACAATGATTAAGAAAGAAGTGATCAACCAAAAAAATCGTCGAGAAATGGAAAATAAAGTTTTAGAAAATATAATTTCTAATTTTAGTTTATAAATCGCGATGAATTAATTTTAAATAAACAAAATATTTCATTTGGGCAAACAAAAAGTTTTAACAATTTAGGATTTTCATTTTTTTTTAAATTGTGAAGAAAATAAATTAATTCATACAAAATAATTAATTGAATAAATATGTGCATTTAATTAATAATTATTCATATATGAATGGTTTTTATAGACAAATGAACGAACATTAATATCAATATTTACTCTATGTATGAATGTGTTATGTGTGGGTGTGTTGCGTGTGTGTATGTGTATGTAGATTATTGTGTGGGAAAATGAAAGTGTGTATGTGTGTGTGTGTGTGAGAGAGAAAATTATAAATGATCGGTAGAGCTACTTAATCCCGTAAGAACAAAATGACGTTTTTAAATGAACAATGGACATCATTGTGTTTCGCGGTTATTAATAATAAATTTAATGAAAATATTTAATTTATTAATAAATTGAAAATATAGTCAAAAAAATGGTTAAAATAAGAATAATTAAAGTAACGAACGCCAAATCAATATCAACATGATTGTATTGGTGGAAAATAACAATAACCTTTTTATATTTATCAATAATAAAAATATTATTATTATTATTAGTATTAATGTTGTTGTTATTATTATTATTATTATCAATTAATTATTTAATTAATTTCACAAAACAAATGAATGAATATTATCAAGTTGCAATAACGTAGTTGTTGACTGAGCCTAAATATTTACTCACAACGTGCTGATCGTTGCTGATCGTTTGTCACAATGCTACCATTCTTAATGTCATTTCTTGTGACATTATCATTGTTGTTGTTGTTTCTGCTGCTGCTGTTGTTGTTGTTGTGGTTGTTGTTGCTGCTGCTGATGTTGTGGGTTCTTTTAACATGGCTGTCATGGGCTGCGTGCGAAGCGAAAGTTTTTCCACAGTACTTGCACTGGATTTGGAATGAGTAGACAATTTAAGTATTATAAATAATGGCTACAACAACAACAGCAACAATAAAAATAACAACAACAACGAATAACAACAACAAACAACAACAACTTTGAAAGGTTTTTCTCCTGAATGTTGTCTGATATGAGTGCGGAGGATGCTTGAAGCAGTGAACGCTTTACTACAAAATGGACATTCGTACGGTCGTTCGCCGCTGTGAACCTGTGTTTTGTTGTTGTTGTTGTTGCGTTTGTTGTTGTTGTTGCGTACGTTGTTGTTTTTGTGGCGTATGTTGTTGTTGCGTATATTGTTGTTGTGGCGTATGTTGTTGTTGTGGCGTATATTGTTGTTTATGTTTGTGTCGTTATTATTTTTGTTGTTTATGTTGTTGTTTTTTAAGTACCATAACCAACAACGGCAACATCATCGTCATCATCATAAACAACAAAATCACCACACCACACCACTAGCACCATCAACATCTTCATCATCACCTTCATCATCACCATCACCATTAGCAACAAAAACATCAACATCGTCAACATTATCATCACAATCGAAGCAACACTAATTGCTTCTTGTTTGCACCCATCCTTCGTTACGGTCGATAAGCGTTAGTGAATGTGTGAGGAATCATACGACATCCAATATAAAGAACCGCATGTGCCGATATTGCTTAATGTCTGTTTGTAAATATACGTCCACATATATATTTGTATTGTGTGTGCGCGCGTGTATGTATGTATGTATGTATGTATTTATGTATGTATGTATGTATGTATGTATGTATGTATGTATGTATGTATGTATGTATGTATGCATGTATGCATGCATGTATGTATGTGTGTGTATTTATGTGTGTGTGTATGAAGGTATGTATGTTGTTTGTTTGTATTCATCTAGATATGCATAGATGCATGCGTATGAAATTTGTACTTTTCGAGTTGTATTAACGTTGTAAGAAATCTCAAACACTCAAATGAGATAATAGATTATTCTATCATCCATCGCTACCATCCTCATCATCATCGTCGTCATCGTCGTCATCATCATCGTCGTCATCATCATGACAACGAACCCTGGAATGTTTATTGAGACTGGATGACTGACTGAATGACTTTCCGCAGAGATTGCACTTGTGTGGCCTGTGCTTCTCGTGAACGTGTAGCACGTGGATTCGCAGGCGGTCTCTCTTCTCAAATGATCTGTGTGTGTGGTGTGTGTGTATGTGTACGTGTGTGTGGTTACGTGTATGTGGTGTGTGTGTGTGTGTGATTTTAGCAAAACTAAGTACAACTCAAACAAATCTATGATACATTACCATTTCGTCCGCTTTGAGTAGTACATTTTTAAATAATAACGTAATGTAATGGTTGTTCTTTTTTATGCGTAATTCAGAGGATTCACCAGTTCACGCATTAAATAAACAACCAGCCAACCAAGCAGTCAGCCAACCAATCAACAAACCAACCATCCAGCCAACCAACCAGCCAACCAATCAACTAACCAACCATCCAACCAACCATTCAACATTTAGACATTCAACAAACCGGCCAACCGACCGTGGACAGAGCAAGCAGGGAAACTTTCGATCTCCCATATCGACGCACTTGGTGTATTTGAGATGCTTGTCTTTGTAGTACTTGTAGGCAAAGACCTTGCCACACCTCTTGCACTTGTAACCTGTCGTCGCTGAAATGTGGAACTTTTTTTTATTTGAAACAAGAAGCGAATTAATATTTATAATTGTTTTTAAACAGCGATACGATTTAAATGATGAATAAAAAAAGAACGAACGAACGAATGAATAATTGAACAAATGAAATGAATAAAATTTAAACCATTATCTCCGTCAACATCGTCATCGTCTTTATTATCACCTGTCTGGTGACAGGCGTCAACTGACGAACGTTTGTCGCTGCTGTTGTTGCTGCTGTTGCTGCTGCTGCTGTTGTAGACAGAAAGTTTCTTAATGCCAGCTTCAATGACGTTGCTTTTGATGTAATTATTGTTAATGTTGTTATGGCTGATGTTATTGTAGCTGCGTTTAATTGCGATGATGTTTGTTTGTTGAAGGTTGTTAACGTACCTCCTACATAATATTGACTGTGGCTTGTACAATTTTCCTGTGTTGCTGAATTTGTTAAAATAGATGTAATTGTTGTTGTTATTACTGTTATTATTATTGTTGTTGTTGTTGCTATTATTATCATTGTTATTTTTGTTGCTGTTGCAGCTGACGTGTTTATAGTTGCTGTTTTCGTAACTGTCGTTTAAATCTTCGTTGAAGTTAGAGTCAATTCTTATCTCATCTTCAAATTTTATATCTTTGGTTACAAGAAAAAAATATTTATAATCAATAATGTTGTTATTGTTGTTGTTATTTTTGCTATGAATATTGTTATTAATGTTGTGGGTGTTGTTAGTGTTTTGGTTTTTAATGTTGTTGTTGCTTTGTACCATTATTTTTATGTTTGTGTGTTGTTTGTTGTTTGTTTTTTTGGCGTAGGAGCACCAGGAGAATGGATTTGTTAAAATGTCAACGATGTTTCTAGCGATGTGAATGTTGTAAGCGCCACTAGTGTCCGTAATTTTGTTGTTGTAGTCAATGTAGTTGTAACCATTGTTGCAGTTGTTAGTTTTGCTGTTGTTGTTGGTTTTATTGTTAATGTAATTGTAACTGTTGTTGTTATTGATGCTAGAAATGTTTTTGTCGTTAAACCGTGTGTATTTTTGATGAATATTAGCGATTAATTCGCTGAAAGCAGTCTGCCTCTTGCATTGATATTTTACACAACTGTCTCTGTTAGTATTATTGTTGTTATAATTATTATTATTACTACTATTGTTATTGCTGTTATTATAATTGTTGTTGTTGATGTTTTCATTCATGATGTCACAATGTTTGAGTTCATTTACACAAGTTCTGCCGTTAAAGTTGTTGATGTTGGCAGGTATGTTGATGTTTTTAATGTAGGCAAGACTATTTGAATTTACATTTTTCATATAATTGTTAATGTCACTTTTGTTTTCTGAGTAAGTATTACATTCGTCGTAACGATTAATGTTGTTTATGTTTTGGTTGCTTGTTCTGTAGTGGTTAATGTTGTTGTTGTTGCTGCTGTTAGAGTTATTCGGTTTATTGTTGATGTAGTTTTTGTGGTTGTTGTTGTTGTTGCTGTTGTTGTTGTTGTTGTTAAAGTTGCTGTCATTCACATCAGTTTCAATTTCATTTTTTAAGTTTTTATGAAGTTCCTGCCAAGTGAATTTATTAAAAAAGGCATACATTTTCATATTTTTAAAGCAATGAATCGTAAGTTTTTTGTTCAAATTAAAAAATTGCACATTTAAGTTCTTTAATGTTTGAAAATTTTGTCAACTTAATCTTCAAACACGGACTAAACATTTAATAACTCATTGAATCAGTCAAACAATCGATCGATCGATCAATCAATCAATCAATTGTGAAACGGATTTAGCTTACACCTTGCGCTGTTTGAAGCATGATGCGTCTTTAATCTTTTCAAAAGATGTGATAAGTACGACGATGATTACGATGATGGCTACGACGATGATTGATTATGATTATGAAACAAATATGACAAAGAAAATATGAAGAAACAAATTTTAAAAGTTAAGAAAATAATCAACATTGAAATATTGATTAAACACTTTTGAACAACTTTAAACATAAATAATTTATACTTAACATTCTCTACATAGTACAAAAATTACACCAACAAGCGATAAAACCCATGTACACGCGTTTTATGTTTGCTGACACTTGAGTGCAAAAAACTTGAGAGAGCTAATATATCATATCTAAAAGATATAGCACCTGGTAATGAGCTGGATAAGTGTTGAGTGAGTGATTGAGTGAATGCGTGATGTTATGGATACAATGTCATTGCTGTCATTAATATGATGCTGTCGTATGTCATTAATATGGTGTCACGTCTTGTTGTTGTTGATGCTATGAATGTCGTTTGGTACTTTTTGTTTTCATCATGTCGTACACCAGTTCATCGATGTTTTTTTTACGTAAATACCAAAAAAATGTTGATGTCATGATGTTGTTATTGTAATATTAGTATTAATGTTGTTAAAACCGACATGTTAGTGACGGTAGTGGACGCGGATGTATCTATCAATATTGCTATTTTTGTTCATACTCTTCAAACTAATAACGACTTTATTATCTTATTTCTAACATTTTCAGTTTGGCTTTTAGATTATATTATAATTTAAAAACTGTTTAATGAAATTTATTAGAAGATTGTCAATGGTTCAATTGTAAATTAAATTTCTAAGCTCACTTTATCATCACTGAAACTGCTGCAATTGGAGAGTAAGTCGGCGTTGTTAGTTTGATTGAAGCGAGCAATTTGAAACATAGTACCAGAAACAACAACACGTTTTGAAGTGTTGAACACGCCAATGTTGGTTATTAAGTGGTCACTGAAGCTACTACATGTGCTGCTATCATTGCAGCAACTTATACCGTCTATAGCATGGCTGTTGTTGGTGGTGGGGGTGGTGTCGCAACATTTTTTGTTGCAGGTTTCTGTCTGCGATATGTTTTTTACTAAATTTAAATGTTGTTGTTGTTGTTGTTGTTGCCGTTGTACTTTTTGGCTCTGCTGGCATTGATGGTCTGCATTGATCCCAACAAAATTGTTATGGACTCGTTTCACACACTTACAAATGGAAAATTCTGGTTGCAATTATTTATTTGAAATTATTTTTCCATGTATAAAATTAAAATTTGTAACAAATATGCAATAATCTGATAACTATTAGGCTTATATCAAAATTTAAAAAATTCGTGTCACAAAAGTTAACGCAAAACAAAGTAAATTTTAAAAATATGTCTGCAACACTGGGTTTGTCAGAACTGAAAATTAAACTTATTACCAACCTTGTGGTAGTCCGCTTATCTTTATGTTCAACTTTGTCAGTGATACAATGGAAGACGGTGGCGGCGGTGAAGATGGCGACGACGACGATGATGATGGCAAGGAGGCTGATAATGATGACGATGGTGATAATAATGTTGGTGATAGTTTAGATGATGTTGATTGCACTTGTGACGATATTGAGGGGCATTTTGTAAAAAATGATGACGAAGATGATGACGATGATGAAATTATCATAGCATCATCTTCAACGTCACTCTTTTTATTAGACCGGCTGTTGTGCCGTCTCCATCTTCCAGTGTTTAACAATAAGTTTTCAATTCCTTCAAAAATGAAAAAGAAATTTGTAATTTATCTGGCATAGTATAAGAGTAACTTTAACTAAGCGAACAACTTTTCACAAACATACAGCGTACGTAAGCCTAAGCCTGCAAACAAAAACATCAGACGTATGTATGATACTTAGAACAAGGGACTCTCTTGTTTGCGTTCGACTTACAACTACACCACCATTTTGATTAATTATACATCAATCCTTGCAAAATTGTTTCACTAGACCGAAATAACAAAATATATATAATTTTAATTGTAATAATAATTCTACAGAAATCATACAAAAAAGATTTTTACACACACAATGTATACAAATTATAGCAACTAAACTGTATTTAGATGATCCTGACATGGTTGATGAAGAAGTTGTTGATGATGTTGTTGATGTTGTTGTTGATGATGGTCTTGTTGATGTAGTAGTTGTTGATGATGTTGCTATTGATGATGATGATGTTGTTGTTGTTGATGTTGTTGTTGATGTTATTGCTGATGTTACTGTCCTTAATGTTATCACTGAAATGTTAAATAAATATTAATTATTCTAGCGGTTAAAGTGATAGCAGGTACTGATGATGATGACGATGATGATGAGTTATGATGATGAGACCAATGGCGGTGCTAATAATGATGATGAGAATGATGATGATGATAATTATTATTATAATATAACATAAGGGTGGCTCAACAACCCTCGTGGTAGAATTTTTTTTTGTTTTTATTTCTCAGAAATGATTTTTGTAATCACGCAATCAAAATTTTCGCAATAACGAACATCACCATCAACATCATCATTAATTATATCATTATCACTTTATCATTTCATCATTTATCGCAAACATGGTCATTAACTTCGAAATTATAACCACCAATTTTATTGTCATCATCATCATTATTATTATCATCATTAATCTTATTTGCATCATTATCATTCTTGTACGAACATTCTTGTTCCTTGCGGTTGTCATCATTGTAATCATCTTTATCCTCGCTGCTGGCAGGCGGTGATAACGTTAATGATGATACAATTAATGATAACGAAGAGGACGATAACAACGAAAATGGTGACGTTGTTGTAATTGTTGATGGTGATGATGATGATGATAATGATGATGATGGTGATGCCAATGACGATAATGGTGGTGATAAGGATGAATGTGATAAAGCTTGAGACTGAAGATTTTCTGGAAAAATTCTTGATAAAGATGACTGAGCTAATGACGGTGAAGTGAAAAAGGAAGATGACTCGGACGACGACGACGATGATGACGTAAAACAAGATGGCAGAAATGATGAAGGTGATGATGGTGTTGATGAGGAATATGAAGGAGATGAAAGAACTGATGAAAGAATCTTGGAATAGTTGCAGCTTTCTTTTACGTCATCATCATTTCCATCAACATGCGTAATATTTTTTAACTCTTCTGAATATTTGCCGTTAAGATTATTATCATCATTATTATCATCATCATTAGTGCTGATATCAATATCTTCGTCTTCGTCATCACTCTTTTCGGGTTTAACACAGCAAGCAATGCATTTGTCATCATCAACTACATCACCATCATCGTCAAATTTTATCTTCTTCCCAGATCTGACTTCATCATCATTATCTCTATCACCATTGTAACTGTTATCACCATATGGTTTGTTATTATCATTATCGTAGTCGGGATCACAATTGTTACTATTATCAATATTATTTTTGAATTTGTTAGAGGTATGTAGGTACTGCATGAGGAAGTAGCTATACAGACGCTTTTTAGATATCTCTATTCTCTCTAGCCAATTGCTCTCAACACTACTGTCATAGTGAGTTTTTACTGATGACGAGTTGTTGGTGTGTTGTTGAGACTGTTGCTCATGTTGTTGTTGCAGCAAGTGTTGTAAATCGTGTCGCAACTGATTTTGTTGTTGTAAATAGTTTAGTTGTTGTTGTTGTTGCTGAAGTTTTTGAAATTGCTGGTGGTTGAAATTGTTGCCTAATAAGTTTTGTAGGTAGGTGTGAGGGAAACTATTGAAAGAATTGTTGGGCCTTTGAAATCTGTTAATAAATTGTTGTTGCTGATGTTGTAATTGTTGCCCATGTAGTAATTGTTGTTGGTGTTGTGAATGTAGCTGTTGATTTTGGTGTAATTGCTGCTGATGTTGCGGTTGTTGAGGATAGAGATGACTTTGGTTTTTCATAAACTTTTGTTGTTGATTCTGCTGCTGTACAATATGCTGCTGCTGCTGCCAATAACGCTGTTGATGGAGGTGGTGACGTTGAGAATAATGATGATGGTGCTGATGATGAAGATAGCCCAATTGATTTATGTCTCTATTCTCCGCCCACTTATTGCTTAGGTGATGTTAAATAAACAAACATTATATTTTCAGGTAGTGGTTTTAAATTTTATGAAGATGAAACTAATGTTAACATTTGCTCATAATGTTAACTATTAACTAAAAAACTGAACAATTGTTTGCTTGTTTATATGTGGCACAGCGAAGCATTCACAACACACCCCATCCCATCACATTCATTGTCACATTCGCACGCACATTTTTTCCTTAATTAAATGGTCCATTCGGTAACCAAACGCATTTAACAATAGACCAACATCAAACTGATTTCAACTCGGAACGTAACAACACAACAGAACGGACCTGCATATCAGCGATCAAACGAAGAAGCAAAGGATTTGAATGGTTAATTAAAATCTTCAACACGTCGGAGATTAAACTTAGTGCATTAATAATTTGACGCGTGATTATCTTATACTTTTATAAAAACAGACACGCACTCACTTACGTTACAGATGGAACAATAATGTTAATTAAAATAGTGGTGTTAACTTTGGTAATTGTGGTTATCTGTAGTATTGCTAACCATTTTGTAGAATCTGTCTAATTGTTCATCATTTTGTAGTACATTTAGTATTGTCAGTAATTTTGAAATGTTGCTCGAGTTATTTGAATTCATAATAACATTACCAACAGGTTACAGCGTTATTAGTTGTTACAATATAAATGGTGGTAGTGGGTAATAATCAACGTCTTGAAACATAAGTTTGGATGCAATTGTTCAACGATATGAAAAAAAAAATAATAGAAAACAATTGAAGATAAATAATTTGATTTTGATTTGTTAGAAATAAATTTTCTTTTCAACAAAACAAATATAAAGTCGCTCTTTATAAAAATTCACATTTCATGTGTGACAAACTTAAAAATCGTACAAACATGTTTGCTACCAAACTTCTATAGAGCAGGCACATTATTTAAATATGATAAATAAACTTGATGAATTTAATTTAAAACTGATTCACGTTGCGTGCGAGGAGGAGCTGAGCTGACGTCATTTGATTGACACATCGTTGACAGTCTTGTGTTAGGAAGGAATTCACGTACAACGGATGTATTGTTCAAGTTGAAGAAATAATTTTTAACTCTCTCAACAACTATGTGTCAGTTTTTGAAGAATAATTTTATAAGGAACTTATACACGCACTCACACAAGCAAATAGACACACACACGCACACGCACAAGCTCACACACACACATACACATATACATAAAAACGCACGCACGCCAATCCGTTAGAAAAGATGAATAACGATATTATACAAATAACACATTGCTAACCTATACAACCGCACACATGCATATATATTCACTTACACACATGCATATATATTCACTTACACACACACACACACACACACACATAAATACACAAACCACATACATCGCATACACGTAAGCACACACATACATAAATACACCCAATTAAAGAGGTGCAAACACACACACACAGACACACACACATAGACACACACACACCAACGACGATTTGATAAGCTACATCGATATTTACGTATGATTGTTAAATAAACAACACCTGTGAAACTTAATTGTATGTTGTTATTACACGTAGGTACCGATGTTGTTGATGTTGCTAGTGTTGATGTTGTTGTTGTCATTGTTGTTGTTATCGTTGTTTGGTTGTTGCTGCTATCTTTATTGTTCAGCGTTGATATTGTTAAGATTGCGCATATTAGCGTGAAAGTCCTCGTTAAACGCGTTCGCTATCATCGTTAGTTGATATTGATTGTTTTTGTTGACGCAATTTGTGTTGTTGTTGTTTTGAATGTTATTGTCATCAATTTAGTAGCTTTGTTGTTGATGATGATTTGATAATAAAATTAATAAACATAATTAATTATTGTCATTAATAACTATTAAATTTAAAACAGCATAATGTGCTACTGTGTGAATGAGATTCACAATGCTTAAGTTCAACTAGTTCATTATTCATGATATTATATATCATTATATGTTGTCGTTGTTGTTGCTGGTTTAATGCGTTTCTTAAAAATTTAATTCTGTATGCAGTTTATCGTAATATGCATTACACTTTTACTAGATGAGTGGATTAATTGATGGATAAATTTAACGATAAAAAATGTTTGCCTACGTTTTAAAAAATTTTCCTAATCAATAATCATTCTCTGCAACAAATTTATAATAGTGAGTTGCGTTGGGTTACTTCAAGATATATGATTTAGAGGCAAGATCTTTGCCAAACACAACAGCTAATAAGTTTTGAATGTGAGCAAAGAAATTGAACAAAATTGAAAAATTTATTCACAACATTTTTAAAAAAATTAACGCGAACAACTTTATTAAATATTTAATAAAGTAAAATTTTTGAAAAATAGAAATATAGAAATGTGTTTGCATCTATTTTAATACTGCTAAGGTCAATAATATAGCAATTTATCGTTTCATTATTAATAGAAAGAGACAAACAGACAATCAGACAGACAGACAGACATTAGGACAAACAATCAGACCAACATTACTAAAGACAGACAAACATACAGGCAGACATAAAAACAAGTAATCATGAAAGCAAAGAGATCATAATAGCACGTCTCACTCACTTTGTTATTGCATCATCTCCCATATTGCAAACAAGTTGATCGATGATGATGATGATAAAAATATTTTCTCTATTTCTTTTATTATTGTTATAAAAGGTTGATAAAGATAATAATAAATAAACAATAAAATCATAAAAATTATCATCACAAAAGAAGTGATTTACGAATGAAACGACGAAATGAACTAAATGATGAACATCGTAATGAGGCAGGCAATTATCATCAACTAATGTAATTACACAATAAAAGTTGCAAGTTGTTCAACATACGCAAACTTTCCTTCGATAAATTTCCAACAAACAAAAGGGCTCTTTTATGTTGTGATAAAAGACGCACACACACATAAGCACATGTACACACACAAAAACACACACACACACGCGTATATATACATATATATATGTATATATATATATATATATATATATATATATATATATATATATATATATACACACGTTTATAAGCACTTACCATCTTACGTATCAATTCTGCATCAATAACAATATACGTGTGTGGGTTTAATAAGTGGTGGTCACATATGTATGTATATATATAAATGCATGTATAATATGTGTGTGTATGTATGTGTGTGTGTGTATGTGTGTGTTTGTACGTCTAATGTATATGTTTCTACAAATATTTATCTCATATACGCCAACACATGCATGCGTATATACTAAATGTATGTGTGATATATGCGTGATACATGGTTTAAATAGAACGTTCATAAAAATGAATGATACATGAACAATATGATTACCTGCTGGCTGATCAGAGCGACAATAATTCACCAATTGTAAGTTTACGTTATCCATCTATTCTATTGTAACATCAATTAAGAAGCAACACATATGTCGTTATACTTTGTTATATTTGTTAGTATATTCAATACAGTTTTATACGTATTATCGTTTATATACATGTTTATACATTTTTTTATAGACATTTCGGGAGCCAATCAGACGCAAGAATGAATGTGATTGGCTGCAGCGAAGGATCAGTGAAGCGTGTATGCCGGATTTTGAATTTTAATGAAAAATGCTATCCAAAGCGTGAGATGATGTGATCAGCCGCAATTAAATCTTCATTAATGTCATTACAAATTATTATTTCAATAATAATTTTATTAATATTATATTTAAAGTAATTAATTTGTTGATGAGAGTTGTTTTAAAGTCTGTGTAGCATGTGGATTGAAAAAAAAATTAACAAATCCATTAGAAACACATTTTAAATTTCATTCCAGTTATCAAATAATGAGTCTCAAAACATTTAAAAAGTTTAAAAATTTGAACCGGAGGGAGGAAGGAAAATGTGGGATTGTGTTAGTGTAAGCCTTCTAGAAAATATTTGCTATTAACCAGTCATTCAGAGCTTTTTAGCTTGTGTAAACCTTTTGCCTTTGCAATGAATTGGTCTGAAAAAGTATAATTTCACGTTATTTGAAATTTTAATTAATAACGTGAAATATTTCTGTGTATAAAAATATATTTAAGTAAAAATTAATAGAAAATTAGATAATTTTGGGCTTTTTCCTCATGTGAAATGAAATTTATTTTTAAAAATTTACACGAATTTTTTATTTAAAATTTGTACATGATGATGATGATGATGATGCTGGCTGAGGTGATGATGATGTCATCTTTTATTCGCAACAAACAATTATTTGTATCTTCTCTTAATATGTTAAAACTGGCGCGGCATTTTATGGATGAATTTGTAGGTGCATATATTTGAAACAAATTTTTCATTTAAAAAGCATTAAGTCAGGTGAGAAAACTGTTTTTATTAAGAAAGCGAGTCGAAATACAGATCAAATTATCGTTCAAAACAATTAATAATAAAGTCATCAAACAGAAATAATACCTGCAATCATATTGACAATCTACATATAACATCACCATCCACAAATAACATCATCATCTACAAATAACATCATCATCTACAAACAACATCACCATCCACAAATAACATCACCATCCACAAATAACATCATCATCATCCACAAATAACATCATTATTTACATCACATATTACATCATCACTCATCATCACATACAACATCATCTTCGCATATAACATTATCTTTTATATATATAACAACTTCATTATCTACGTACAACCTATCCATGATTACATGATTGAATTGCAATAAAATAAGCGCTCGCCGTTCCTTCAAAAAGAAAAGTTAAAACAACCAGAAACGGAAAAGGACATTGACGCAATGATGATTAGCGATACTGTTGAAAGTTTTTACGAGGATATCACAAGCAGGTGTCAATCATAAATGTAGTTTTAATCATACTCACGTGCTCATGTTAACATGTTGTTTTGTTGTAGGGTACATTTAACTAATGAGTTAACATATTCCTTGGGACGAGTTAACTAGATAGCTTAACATTTGTACTCACATGTTAATATGTTTCTTACATTTCAGTTTAAAAAAATCTATTTGTATTAAATAAACTTAATGCAAATTAATAAAGAAAGACACACACACATAGACATACACATAAGAACACGCACACGTGCACACGTACGTATGGATTGGCGCATTCAACATCCACCACCATCATGGTTCACACACAGTAAATGGCTTATTGATTTTCAATAAAATAAATTTTTAGAAAATCATCAATTTGATGTTCTGACTTATGAGTAGGACAATCGTTTGATCTATTTTCAACACCATTTGCGTGTGTCTTATTTATGGGCGATTTTCTCAAGATAATGATTGTAAGATGTACGTGTATTTGCATTACGTAACTTTCATGATCTTGCAGAAGAAACTATACCATAATGTTACACAACACAGATACAATCATACGCTCCAATATTGAAAAATAAAAAACACTCCACAACCATATAACCATCAAGAAACATGATTTAATTTTACTCTCATATAACTACAATTTTTCAGGCACCGACGTATTAAATAAAGAATGTTTTTACAAAATTATTATAAATCAATAAGCTACTGTTATAGGTTTAGTCATTTTAATGCCCATTAGAGGAGATGAAAGCATTTTCCACTTCGGTTTTTGCCTTCTAGATTACAGCATCTTAAAACAGCTGCCAGTTTTAAATTTAATAAATCAAATTTGGAAAAAAATTTATTGATTTGGGCAATAAAATATCTACAAAAATTGAAGTTTATATTTTTGTGAACGTTTTAACGGATCACAAAAAATTTTCTTCCGCCTTTCGATAAGCCATCAGTTGAAATCATGGATATATATAATATATCCATATACCCATGGTTGAAAATCCTTCCATGCCTTGAAAATAATTTTGATAAAAATGCGATCATTCCATTTCTCTTTATTTTAGCAAGATATTTAGTTTGATATTATATGTAAGTATTCTTTAATATATCATTCTATAAAAATTGGATCATTTATTTTAATTTTAACATTAATTTTTTTCATTTTTCAAATTTTACAAATTCGGCCACTCACTTTTCTGTTGATTTTTAAAATAATATATATTAGTGAAAGGATGATGACGACGACGAGAAAATTTTGGATCGATAATGATGCGTCGACAACGATGAAATGAATATTGAAAAAAATGAAGCGTGGCTGACAAGATATTAATTAACGATGTGTCGATGAGGAAGATGATGATGAAGACAATGGTGATAATATGCTAATGAGGATGTTGATGGTGGTTGTGGTGGTGGCAACGGTGGTGATGACGCCGGCCACAGATGTCCACTTGAGGCACATGCCAAACATGACGACCGATGACTGAGGAGTGAGTAGAATCTTTCGACGACATTTGCTTCACCTCAGAATATCTAAACGTTGAAACACAAAAGTTTAAAAAATTTGTAAAAAATTAAATAAAATAGCCAAAAAATATATTTAATTATTTGTTAATGACCACATATAGAAGTTTTAATTTAGGTTCTCGAGGTTGAATAATGAATATAATATTGATGGGTTTTTAGGTAGCACAATGTCTTCAGGCCCACCACAAAAATTAGGTCATTTGTCAGTCTGTCAGTAGTAATCCACGTCATTATTAATTAATTTGCATTCATCTTTCTATGCATCGGCATCAGTACATACATTTAGCGTGTCGCACACAACTAATATTATATTATTTGTTGTTTAATTGGATTTGGCTGATTGGTTGTTTTTGTTGTTCATTCTTTTAAACATGTTCAGGTTGGTTTCGCGTCGTCAAACGCTTTCAGATAACTGTTGCGTGTTGTTCGCTTGCGTGTTTATTAGCGTTGGTGTTGCTGATGCCGATATTTTGATGCGTTTTTTACTTATGACTTACCGCACTAGGTTTATGAACTTTTTTCTTTGAATGTTTAACGCATAATGCTGTGTTAAAGTTTTTATCATGTAGATGTGTAGGTGTTTGTGTATTTGTTTGTGTACGTGTGTGTGTGTGTTGTGCGTATGTCTGCGTCTGTGTGTGCTTTTCATGAATGGATTTATGTGCTGCTGTTTAGATGTGAACGTGTGTGTGTGTGTGTGTGTGTGTGTGTGTGTGTGTGTGTGTGTGTGTGTGTGTGTAGCAAATGGTCGCAGCAGGTTGCAATTATGCAGTTTATTTTATTTATCACCGGGCAGATCACCCGAGGTGACAGTAGTGGTGTTGTGATGTGATAGTTGACGATGTTGTCATGAGATAGTTGACGATGTCGTTCGAGAGAACAAAGCAGAGAAGTGAGTGCTTTAAAGTTTAATCACACTTTGCAGAGATAATGAAACAATAATACCCACTATAACTGAAATGAAGATTGCAACAATATCAATCAACTAGAGAAGCACAACAGTCACAATACAACTCATTAAAAATAATAACAATAATAACAATAACAACAATTACATACATGTCAATGGAATAGCAAAAATGCAACAGTGATGTATACTTTTTAACATAAAACAAACCTAAAACAGCAACAAGTAAACAATAAAGTTAATGTCATTTCACGCAGTTATATAGCAGCTCAGTAAACTGCAGACCATCCGTAATAGCAACATACTAACAAAACTACAGGAATATAGCTACATACAAACCGATATTTTAGTAATAAAATTAATTAAATCGATTTTCGAAACTCCGATTAAAGCCGGAAACACGTTGACATTTAACATCAAGATGGCAATCGTGTTGTTGTTGTTGTTATTAATTAATTAAAACGTACAAACAAAGCACAGTAATACTAATCACATTTTCAATATTTGGAATAATAACAACATCAATAATAGTTAAAACAATAGCCATAACAATAATAATAATAATAACAATAATAATAATAATACAATAATTGTGATAACAGTATTAAGTTGTGCAACGCGCTGCATTTGATGTTTTAGAATTAGAACTGGCTAATCCCTACGCAATATTGCTTCTTAATCGTTCAGAGATGGCAGCTTTGTATACACAAACTTAAACATAAACAAGATATTCATTAACAGAAGTGCCCATTGTTTCGAATTTGTAATTCAATCGATGCAACTTATAATACGGGGGGTTATGTTACTGTGATTGTTCAGGTCGGTCGGTCGTTACAATCGTTGTTGGTGGTTTTTTTGTGTTTGTCTTGTCTTATCTTGTGCTTCCTTGTGTGCAATTGCCGCATGTTTGCTTTGTTATGCCGTATGAGTTAAATTAAAATTCGTGGCGTGGTGGTCTCATATTAATGTTCTGAGGTTGCAAATGCCAAAAAATGAGAAGAAATATGATAGAAAAGAGAGACACAAACGACGATTTGAACTGAAATATTAGCAGTCTGTCAAAAATTATGAAGTAACCGTGAAGAAAATTTTCAATATATAATAAGGGATGACAATAATTTAGTCTAGAAACAATTAGTGAATCTGAATTATAATTGGATATAGTGAATTAAGCTAATAGTTTTTTACTAGATTCATATAGCATTCATTTTCCGGAGCCTGAGAAGGTACAATTTTTTAAATTTTTGTTTCACGGCTTTGCAGCCCGCCAGGTCGAGAGTCATTGATCAGTGGAAAGGATGTCAGATTTTAGATTATTCATACGTATTAGTTTTCATGCTGACGCAAAACAGATCCAACAATCAAACTGCAAACCGGTGGCACCATGAACCGACGCCGCTCCAGAAAAAGGATGCACACCAGACCTCCGCCAGCTCCACCAAACAATGGCCCGCCCCAGCAAATGCCCTCGAAATCGTAAATCACAACTGTGATTTTTTTTCTCTTTGTGGCATTTGAGCTTTCCCCATGGTGTTTGTTCTTCACAAATTTTTTATTACCTGGCTCCATTCCTGCCATCATTAGCAAATTAGCAACCATCATCGGTATGAGTAACAAAACGACGTGGATGCATCAAAAAATACACTCCCTCAAGTTTAAAAATGTAAATTTCGAACATCTGCGATTCCTCTACATGAATATTCAAAAATCTATAAAGGTCATTCAAGACAGGATTGCACGCGAACGCCTGATTCTTAGTCGGGATAGTGATCTGGTAAAATGAGAGCATAATGCGAACAGCAGAACAATGAATCGACTTCTCGAAACTTCAAAATATTTAAACAGTTTCAGCGTTGATAGTGAAAATCCAGTCATCTACCCAGACACAGATCACAGATCGACGGCCGTTCAAAAAAAACATTGAAACATCATTATTTCAACACTGTACACCAAAGAAAGCGCTTCTGAGGTCTTTTCGAGAGAGGCGCCATACAAGTTCTGATACTGAAAGTCACGCTCCTAAATTTAGAAATTACTTTTGCAGACGTAAATCTTGAATGAAAATTTTAATCAACAATATTCACAGACTAATCCTAAAATCTTGAAATCTTAAAAAACTTATCCGAGCGAAGATTTAGAAATTATAATGAACGATCTAGGTGCGTTGGTCAGATTGGTACCTCTCTTAGCTCAGATAAACAAAACTTTGAATACTGAATTGGGTCTACTGATTAATAAAAGCTTATGGATTGAGATTTAGAATGTGATTAACAGATTTCTGTTGTATATTTTTTTTATTATTTCGACTTTTGAAGAGCTATGGTTGTTGTGGTTTCTGCCATATTCCAAGCCAGATGAATTGGTCGATCCAGTAGGATTTTGAGATTGGAATTTTTTTCATTAACAGTTTAATAGTATAACATAACAGTATAATAGTAAATTGATTGTGACGTGATGCATGTTAACAAATACACATTCTAGATAGGAGTTTATAAACAAATTAAATTTTATCTGAAAAAAATATTTCATTTTCAACTATATTATATATTCATATAAAAATGAGTTTTAAAAAATTTTCATAAGAGTGTTTCATGAATCAAATTAGTTACCAAAAACAGTGTTTGTCATAAAAATGAAATGTTGTATAGTATTTATAATGTTTTATTTCTTTCAGTATATAAATTTGACTATGAATCGTGAACAAAACGATTCAATGTTTGAATTGTAAACAACACGGAGAGTCAAATTTTAAACATCAGTAGAAACCATTCCTATAACACCGTACCCACAATTTTAACAGATCCAAAATCACAAAATCTATTTTCAAAAGCAAATTCTCAAATAATAAGACTCACTAATTCAACGAACTTCAGGCAAATCCATTTAAATTCATCTACCATAATCATTCCTACAACAACATGTACAGTACATGATGAGAAAAATGGAGCCAAGTAAAACATTCGAACTTGATATGAGGGATGTACCTAGTTCGACCAACAATGGCAAAACTGGTGAAGAAGAGAAAGAAGATGGCAAAGATAAGGAAGAAGATGAGTTTGACAAATCTCGTCCCATCCACAAATCCACAATTTTTTGCTTGAGCAACAGAGATGAGGAGTTAAAAAATAGTAGTGTCACAAATTTTTTATATTGGCAAAAATAAATGTCTAATTAAAATTAACAACATTTATAATAATAAATATTATTATTATATCATCATCAGTATTTATGTTGTCGTTATTATTGTTTGAATTCTTTGACTTTTATATTTGCCTCACCATGTTTTTTTACAGAAGATAAAAAGCCCCAAAGAATTTTCTGAAAAATAGAAAAAAAAATAACAATCAAATAATTTAAAATCTAAATAAATCCTATAAAGAAATTAATAATTAACCAAAAAAGATAAATAACTGTTAAATAATTAAGCACTTATTAAAATAATAAGAAAAAACTATAACCTCAATAAATCAAAAAGTAGCACCACTATGTCAAATCATCATGCTGATTACCCCACACACATACACCACACATACATAAACACATACACATAGTGCATATACATATTTAGCTAATTGGCCCATTAATCTACCAAGTTAATATCAAAACACAATCCAATATTGAAAACTAGAACTTTCTGAACTTGAAATAAAAATACAAATTTAGGCTCTCTTCGAAATTGCACCAGGTACAAGCGACACAACACCATACAGTAGAGTTACTTACTCTGGCTGCTAAAGCATCTTCATGTGCTAACTGTTCACACCAGTGTTCATACCAGTATTTACACTGTTTTCAGGCTGTTTGAAATTGTTTGTTCATCCATTCTTCAAAGTTTAAAGTGTTACTTATAAACCTCTCATTTGCATTTACTGTCATTTGAAACAGGTTTCTACGTTGCTGGCATTTGTTTTGGGGTTAAATTGCCCATGGAGGTGCACAGTGAGGTGCTTCTTTATGATGTGAAAGAAAACTTTTAATAGAGCACTCAACATTTTGATTTTGGACACATCTTTGAGAAGTCTGAAAAATAATAATTACATTTTTAAAAATTGGAGTAAGTACTGAATAAAAGTTCCTTCTCTAATGCTAATCTAATCCAATCAAACTTTTATCTTATTGCGTTTTATTTGGTTAGTTATTGGTTATATAAGTTACAATGAAATAAAAATAAATAAAGCTTTTTAAATAATTTTTTTATTAATTAAATAAAATTTAAAAAAGAGGCAACAAAGACTCGTTAAGCTCCTCCAAATTAGCGATAAACTCCAAAATTAAGTTTGCATTCCTTTTATCATTGATGATCAAGTTGGTCAGCTTTGTAAAAGTTTTCGACACTTCGACAATTTTACAAAACTTTTACACGCCGAAATTACAATCGCCGTTGTACATAGGCAAAACAATTAAAATATTACTAGCAATCTATATAGCACAGATAATAATTTCATTTATTGCGATTTATTGTCATTTATCTAAAACCAGATTAAATGCTAATCTATCTATATACATATATATGGATTGAATGAATGAACAAAAATAAAATATGTTTGTAAAAATTTTCATTTTTATATATCATAAACCATATTTATTAGTAGATAAATTAATAAGTGAAACGTTTAGTTGGTTAGTTGCACCAATGCGGCAGACGAACATTTCAGACATTAAAAAAACAAATTTGCCCACTCACCGCTCATTTTTTGTGTGTGTTTCTTTCTGTATGTTTGCGTTTTGTGTCTGTGTGTGTTTGTATGTATATTTACAAGTTTGTATCTGTATATGCGTTGATCTACCAATATAGATATATGTTAGTGTTACAACACAACAATACAAACAATTAAGCAAGCATGCAAGCTAAGACTTGAGCGGGCGTATGTACGAACGAACAAACAACAAGACACACTCACACACACACATACAAACCAACCAAATAATAAATGTGTTTGTATGTGCGTGTGAATGTGTATTTATGCGTGAATTTCTATTTTACACAAAATTTTGAAGAGAATAAAAGAATTGGTCTGAAACTCTGAAGTAAAACAGAATTCAATAAGAAAATTGACCGAACCACGAATACACGAAACAATGAAACAATGTTTGTTAGAAAACAAATTCTTACAAAAGTGAATTATACATAAGAAAATGTAGGCCTAAAAGACAAATTTTTGTATACCTATATATGGATATAACAAAAAAGCTGCCGTCAACCAACTAGCCAATCAGTAAGTTCCGTAAATAATTTATAAGTGCATAGAGTTCATTGAGTGCATGAGTTCGAACTTGCATATAGGACAGACAGTTGTCGCGAACTGACTAGCCAATCAGGAAGTTGCGATCGAGTTATCCCAAAAATACTAGCTAATCAGAAAAATTTGGAATGTTTTCGACTAGCGAATTTTGTATAGTTCGTATATTGATAATAAGATTGTATATAAGTGTTTTGGATACATTAAATAAAGCTTGTATAAATGTGAATGATTTGAAATAATAAGAATGTATGAAAGGAGCTAGTATAAAAAGTAGCAGACGATATGTAGAGGTCAGATCAAGAATTTTTGGCTGTGCGGCTGGGGTTTCTTGATCTCCGTTTGTTTGTTTTATCTAATTAACATAGCTAACTCTAGTTTATTCTAGCTAATTTTGTAGATTCGTGTTAATTTTAACATAAGTTTCGATCTGATCTTCAGCATAAAAGGTTAGGTGTGCCGGTGTTCTCGCTCATTCGTCGTTCGTTCGTTCATACGTTCGTCATCCGTCATTAGTTCATCATCCGTCATTAGTTCATTATTCGTCATTTGATGTTTTTGTGGTGACAGGTTAGGATTAACTGATCAGACAAAGGTAGGTGAGATGTGAATTAATTTCCAATAGGCAAGCTAAGTCATTGAATTTAAGATTGAGAGATTTATTAGTCATTACATAAGTCATATATAAGCTAAGGTGTCTTAGGTAATTTATTACGTAAGTAGGCAGGAACTTTTATTCTACCAATACATTTTTGGTGTGTTTTTTTGTTTTTGTGCGTTTTTTATGTTTTGTGTTACCATTTGTTACATCATCATACGTTAGCGCGCCAACCGCTCGTCCGAGTCCGTTTTTCCTTTGTTGGTCATTCAATGTTTTGTAGTGGGAGATTTCACTTTTTCTCTAAATCCTTCTTGAGTTTGTAAATTAACTAATCATTAATAGGTAGGCGAGATGTGAAATATTATGTTCGAATAAGTAAGCTAAGTCATGGGGTTTTGAGATTGAGAGGTTTATTAGTCATTGCAGGTGTCATAAGCTAAGGTGTCTAAGGTAATTTATTACATAGGTAGACAGGGTCTTCTATTCTACCACTCAACTTTTTGTTTTGTTTTTATGTTTTGTGTTACTATTTGTTACATCATCATACGTTTGCCGTGCGCGCCAACCGCTCGTCCGCGTCAGTCTTTCCTTTGTTGGTCATTCAATGTTTTGTAGTGGGAGGTTTCACTTTCTCTATATCGTTCTTGAGATTGTAGATTAACTAATCAGACATATGTAGGTGAGATATGAGTTGATATGTTCGAATAAGTAAGCTAAGTCATGGGGTTTGAAATTGAGAGGTTTATTATTCATTACAGGTGTCATAAGCTAGGGTGTCTAAGGTAATTTATTACGTAGGTAGACAGGGTCTTCTATTCTACCGCTCAACTTTTTGGTGTGTTTTTTGCTTTATGTTACCATTTATTTCATCATCATACGTTTGAGAGCCAACCGTTCGTCCGCGTCAATCATTCCTTTGTTGGTCATTCAATGTTTTGTGGTGGGAGATTTCACTTTTTCTCTAAATCCTTCTTGAGATTGTAGATTAACTAATCAGACATAGGTAGGTGAGGTGTAACTTACTTTCCAAAAATTAATCCTAGTCATGGGGTTTGAGATGAGAGATTTATCAAAAGCTAGGGTACATAGGTTTATATGTATAAGGCAATTTATTTCATAGGTAGACAGGGACTTCTATTCTACCTCTCAACTTTTTGGTGTGTTATTTTGTTATGTGTTACCATTTGTCCCATCTTTACACATCTGCCGCCTTTGCGCGCTAACCGCTCGTTTGGCGTTCGCGGTTGAGCATTTATTTTTGTTTACTAATTCTTATTTTCATTTATACTTCATGTTAAAATGTACTAATTTTTAGCTCTATTTTGTTTGATATCTAACCATCGAAATCTATATAGACATCTTTTTTACTATGCTTCAGCTCGTATTGTTAGCTTTTTCTCATTTGTTTTTTCTCATTCGTTTATTTATTCGTTCGTTCATTTAATCATTCGTTCATTACTTCATTCTCATCTGTCTGGAAAGCGCGCTCATTTCGGCGCTTTTCAGGCAAAAGTGTCTCTAAAGCGCGCTCTTTGGCGCTTTCATGGCACGTGCGCTCTCTTCGGCACTTGCTAGGCACACGGAGGATGAAGGGCAGTCATTCATCATTGATTCGTCAACGTACGAGTTGTCTTGTGGACAATCCGTCGATGGATGTCGCGCAAATTATTGACGTAGCACGGTGGCCACGCTGACATATCGGGCTTTCTTTCAATAGGGAGTTTACGCGTCAGCCTCCCATACATTCGTTCACCACACCACGACATCTCTCGTTTCAAGTGGTTGCTGATGACCCATTATGATGATAGTTGTGATGGCTTTTATGATGATGGTTATGATTGACTTTATGATTATAGTTGTGATGGTTTTATGATGATAGTTGTGCTTGACTTTATAGTGGTAGTTATGATGATAGTTTTGATGATTTTTATGATGATAGTTGTGATGATGATAGTTATGATGGTTTTTATGATGATAGTTATGATGGTTGTTATGATGATAGCTGTGATTGACTTTATGATGATAGTTATGATGGTTTGTTGTAATTTATGATGATTATTTTGATGATTAGGGAATTTTTTTATTTCCTCTTTGATCTCTTTACTTGGTTGAAGTTTCACTAACGTTTTTCAGTTTTCTAGCATGCTAGTGTCTTATTATTATAGTTCAGTTTTTTGACATACTTTGTTCTATTAACATAGTTTAGTAACATAGAAATTTGTTAACATGGTTTTGTTTAACATGGTTTAGATTAAGATGTTTGTTTGTTAACATAATTAAGTTTAACATAGTTGAATTTGTTAGCATAATTAACTCTATATGAAAATGGTTTGATTTATTAACATAGTATCGTTTTTTAACGAACACATGTATACACAAACACACATACACGAACACACTCATTTACATACATACCTTCGGTGTTATGATATGTTATTTGTTTCTTAATTCTTATCTTTTCTTTTCAAGAAAATATGATTTGAGTCAATAGCCAATAAGTAAGCTAGGGATTGAGTTAAATGATTTTTAGTAGGTGAGATGAGTTTAATAGATATGGGTAAGCCAGGACTGAACGTAGGTAGGTTAGTGACTTCTTACTTGTTCTTAGTTTTTATTGTGATTTTTGTTCGCACACACAATAAACATACATTGTATACAGAAACAAACAACGTTACTCATGTAAACATATACAACCAAAAGCAAACGTGCATACATACAAGTTTGATGTTTGTTGGTAGTTATAGTAGATTACATTTTAATTTGATTTTCTATTTATTGTTTATTCTAACATCTCCCTCAATGAGTGGCTGCCTTGACGTGGCGAGGGAGCTTGCCACTAAATGCTACTCATGAAAGATGCCGTTTCAATTAATTTCTTGACTAACGGCGTTTTCAATTTTTCATGTCATTTATATTTTAAAATTTCATTTATTTGCATTTATTTGTTTTACGTGTGGTATATTTTTACATGTTTCACATGAGTTTCGATACTGCAGTGGACAGATAATTTTTGGAATTTCGCTTTAGTTGACGTTTATTCGTTTCGAAATTGTTCGTGTGTTAAAATAAACGAAAGGCTGTTTAATTAGCGACTTTATTTTATAATTAGTAGTTAACGTTCGAAATAAATTCTATAAATGTACAACGATGCGAGATGCAACAACCGAAGTTAGGTACGTGTGTTGTTTCTTAAGTGAAATAAACAAAGGAACTGAGATTAACCTATGTGTAAACGACATAACTTCTTGACTGTTACACGCTGTAACATTCAAGTATTGTTCTATTCAATTGTCAATTGATTTCTGTAGAAAACTATAGAAACAAATTGGTCGTTTTTTCGGTATTAGAGTGCAATAATTGTATATATGATGTTAACTGCACCCTATATCACAATAGACAATGGTCAATATAGTTCGATTAATTTCTAGATTGTAGCGCTCATGTAGTAAACTAAGTTGTAACTATTTATTACATTCATGTAGTACTCCTTTTCCTGAGCCAAAAAAGCATAATTTGGTAACGAGAATTACGACGTTTTTGATTTATAGCCACTTGATTCGACCGATTAGTTGTTATGTATTATTGAACTGGCATTATAGTATCGATTGTTTTTTTGATTGTGGCACTAATTTAGTAAATCAAGCGGGTAGTTTTTACTGCAGTCATGTAGTAGGAACCTACTTATTTTCATAAGCCTAATACCGTACAATTTAGTAATGGATATCCGGACGTTTTTATATACAGTAACTTGAATTGACCGATTATTTTTTATCATATAATTTTATTACGTAATGCTGAACTATGGATAGTTCAGCATTACGAACTATCCATATAGATAGATATGAACTGCTGAACAGTCACATTGGATTTTAAATTATGCATTTTTATTGAAATAAAGTTCACATTTAAACGTAAGGTGTGGTTGTTACTTACCTTAGTAAATCAAAACAAAAACATTGTTAGTTCGTTTAAATTTGCCAGTTTCAAAAAATGTACAACCTAACTAATTTATCATAGCAGGCTTTGATATGAGGTGTTATTATTGTTAGGTTTCTAATTGTGGAAAATTATTTTGAATGATTATGATATGAAAATTTAAATAAAAATAAAATGTTCAAATTGGAGTCATACGTGGCTCCTCTTTTGATGGGCTACATAGACAAGTACATCAAACTCAAAAAAGATGATTTCCAAGTTTCTCTCTGGGGTGGAGATGTCGTGTTAAACAAACTTGAATTGAGGTTGGATGAGATTGAAAAGTTGATAAATTTGCCAATCTCATTAAGAAGTGGCTGGGTGCATGAGCTGAGAGTTCATGTGCCATGGACCCATTTGTACTCCGAACCAGTCGTCATAACTATCAACACAATCGAGTGTACAGTCAAATTAAAAAGTTCTGATTCAAGTTCAAGTTCTCAAAATGTGAGTGGAAAAAATTTAAGCCAGAGTGTCAGCTTATCAAGTTTAAAGAAAGCAAAATCTACTCCGACCTTTGAAGAAAAAGATGATCTGCCACCTGGTTATTTGCAAAGTCTCATTAATAAAATCCTCAACAATATGAACATCATTGTCAATAATCTGATTTTGAAATTTGTCGATGATGACATTGTTCTCTCTTTGAATGTAAAGTCAGCTGAATGCTACAGTGTTGATGCTGCTTGGAACAGAGCTTTCATTGAACTAACTCAAGAGGATTTGGTACTCAGGAGAATTTTGGAGGTGCATGACTTAACTTTGTGTCTTGACCAGAGAAATGCAAGTGGAAAGATTGATCATTATCAGGCTCCACTCTTGTACAAGTTAGTAATTTTGAATATACAAAACATAGCTAAAATATGTCTATCTATCTATGTATGTTATGTTTAAATCATTAGGTAGTATGCCCACAATGGTATGTTTTAAAAAATTTATTCTAGAATTGTTTTAAAATAAAAAATTATCATTTTAATGGCCAGTTTAAAAACATACAAATATTAAAGATCATTTAATAGAGACAGTTTACTTGAATGTTTAAAATTAGGTGTGCCCTAGTTGCTCGACTGCATATGGCCTATGAGAGCATTTATTCAAAAACCCCAATGACAACAAGGCTGAATGTGCTGTGTGAGACCGTCAACTTCTCAATGACTGACATTCAACTGCCTCTTTTCTATCGATTGATTCAACTGGTCATCAGTTTCCACTATGCCCAGAAGGATATCACCTCACAAAAACATGAACATGGCAACAAACTGAAGAATGTTGATGTTGGCACTAAAAGTTCAGAAAGTTAGTTACTTTATATTTACATGTATATAATTATAGTGTTATAAATTTTAATTTTTTTTTATAGATGACGAGGATTCTTCTAGAGTTGATCCAAATTCTGTCTTCAGTTCATCTTCATTAGGCAGCCAGGCTGAAGAGGAGGGTTGGCTGTCCTGGGCTTGGTCCTATGTCCCACCAATCCTGCCTCTTGGATCTGGTTCTGATCTGGATTCTCTTATGGAAACTAGGAGAAAGATTGAAAATTCTGTTTTTATTTTTGGCTTCTATGTTCGAAAGTTGGAAGTCACTTTTAAGGTTTTATCCAAATGTCATCTGCTAAATTTTTGTATAACTGGCTGTAATAAACTATAATTACTTGTTTTTCTATAGTTGATCACGTTTATTCATGTTATTTTATTACTTTCAGTTGCTAGAAAAAAATTGTTTGAATTTAAATTTGGCATCTATCTATCTATCAAACATGAAGCTTAAAAAATGTTTATCATCAACTTTATTTACACAATAAATTTTTTCACTAGTCAACATTTAAATTTGAATGCACCAATGTTGAATGTAGCATTGTCGACTGTCTCGATCCACCAATCCACATCAAATGGGGATGGAAAAGATGCATTTTGATCCATTCCTGGTTGCCCAGATGACAAAATTAGACATGGACATAAAGCTGAGGGGGTTTACCTTCATGGACGTGCAGTTGGGACTGGACTGCTTACAAATGTATTTCCACTGTGATTGCTTGGATAAGAAACTTTTACATCTTGGTCGTGTCAGCAACAATTCTCCTCAGTCTGACAGCGTCAGTTATTGATTATTTTTCACTTCATTAGTAAGAACGTTTTGCTGTCTGTCTGATGACGGACACATTCGTGATGATGCTAATGTTGTTGTCCTATGCTGTAATATGGATAATGGTCAACAAATTTTTTTTGTGTTATGTAATGAGAAAATATTATCTTAATTTTTACAAACATGCAGATGTTGTTGTTCTTCAATGGAGGAAAACAGAAAGTAGTGAGCAAACATCAGAGTAACAAAACAACTACTCCAAACAAGATGCAAACATTGAAGACGTCACTATTCGATACACATTTCCAACCAGCCAACAATGATGTCCAAACTTCAGAAGACGTGGATGATCCAACAGATGCTGCTGTCCTTTCATCACATGCTGACAGTAACACTGCTCATGGTGTCAACAAAACATCAGTTCCAAGTGTTGAGGAAATTAACGTGGCTGACGATGACACATCTGTATTCACTGAGGAGGAGCATGTCAAACTGTATGATGAAAACTTTGCTCAAAAACATTATTCATTTTTTTGGATGGACTATATTTATACTTCAGATAAACAACAAGGTTGTGCATGTGCTTGCTTTTTTTGTTAGTTTGTAATTTTTTTTATATTAATGCCATTTTGCTGATACTCTAGCCTTTGTTATTTGTTGTTGATGTATGAACAATCTGGTGTTATTAAATTATGCATCTGTATTGAATTTAAAACACATAATACAACGAATGAACTCAACAGAATCTAGTGAACAGACACCACTCAGTGCATTGGATACAAATGAGAAATCTTTATGTAGGTTCATCGTTGCTGATTCCAACGTGAAAGTCACCAAAAAACTCACTAATGTTATAAACCAGTTTGTTAAACTGCTGTCCTCTCCATCAACAATACTGAATACGGATGATGGACAAGCTTGTGAGTCATTGAGCTTGTTTCGCAGATGGTTATTTACATTGGTTTCTTTTGATCAGAGCTTCGATCTGTGGTTGATATTTTATTTTTTATGTATTGGATGCTGCTTATTTCGTTTTGTTTGATATTAGTTGTTTGAATTTTTAACTACCTCTAAGACAACTAAGGTTAATATTTTTAAAACTCAAGGTAAAACTGAGAATTAAAAAGCAAATTAACCTGTAAACGTAGAAACGAGCCTGTTTAACTAATTAATTACATAATTTTGATTAATTATTTATCATGTTCATTGCTCAGCGTCATCATCATCTGCAACTCCAAATTTGGATGGCAGTCAGTCGGGCAGCGTTCTTAAAGATAACAAGTTCATTCCAAATGAAAAGGATGTTGAAAAACTTGAAAAAAATTTAGTGACCTGTAGATACAGTCTTTCACTTATTCATCCGTCCGTCTGCATATATCCTGCTGACGACACACTTCACGACCATCATCAACGTCATCATGTGCAACATCACCAACGTCAACAACAACAAAATGTTAGCGTTTGCGTTGGTTGGATGTCCGTAACTGAACTTACCTGTTGTTGTTGCTATGTTTTGATATGTCAAATTTTACTTTAAAATTTTTGTTATTCCAATTGGCTAGGAAAACCCTCCTAAGAATGCATCTCCATCATCGCCACCTACTGCAAGACCAATCAAAACTGAGAACCCAAACGCAACTTCCAAAACTCCAGTTCTCATAGTTGAATGTGCCAGGTTGGAGTGCAGCTCAGCCAGTCCCATGTACAGTCAGCTGATATCACGAGCCTGTAGTTGTTGCGCCGTGGCATCCAGCAACGATCAGATCATGCACAACTGCCATGCACACTCCAATCTTCAAGTTAGTTCGTTGTCGCTTTGACTCCTAGCTTTGGAGATGGAATGGTTGTGGGTGAAGAAGGTAAAAACTGTAAACATGAAATTATATATGAAGAGTAAGTAATTCTTTTTAAAAATGAAAAAATTATTTTAATGAAAGGTTTCATTGTTGCCAGGTTAGCAAATTAGAGGTGAATATGGCATTGGTTTCTCAGAAAAGTTGTTTGCTTGGAAGATGTTGCATCATTCAGCCGTGCAACTTTAATTTCAATCAGAAAACTCTGCTTCATCAAAAATATTGGTAGAAGCTTGTGGATTAATTATTTAAATAAAGTTTTTATTTACTATATTTCGTTCTTTTGTTAATTTTGTCTAATTAAACGTTTCAATTATTGCAATTATTCAGGAAGAATATTTTGCAGGCTCAAGAAGATAGGTAAATGTTATGACAATTTAATTTAATTACGACAAAAACCAGTCATCTCCATTATATTCGATGCTATCTATATGTGGTTTAAATATAAAAAGCTGTTTAAATTCTGTGTCTAAACATATTTTTTTTTCAAATTTTTATTTGTTCGCTAAAAGTTCAAAGTTTTATTCAATTATTTAAACACTCAATAAACACTAGACCTAGATGCTAAATGAAAGTTTAAATTTGCAGATTGTTGGAAGGTGACAATTTGGCATTGAACTTCACGAAAGCTCAGATGCTTGTGGTCATGTATGTAGTTGGTTCCTGGTTCTTCCCGTCAAGTGATCATCAACATTTCAATAGGCTTTCACTCATCGATGATGTCTTCTCCAATAGAAAAGGTTGTCAATCGTTTCTTCTGATTGGTCATTTTTTTCGTTTGTTTAAGCTACTTTTTGAATAAAATGTAATTCCTTACAGTTTCAGTGTAATGAGCCCATACAAATTTTTTGTTATAATCTGCTATCGCGATTGATTAAGCTTAACATAGCAGATTGAATCTGAAAATTTAATTAATTAATTAACTAATTAATTAGATAATTAATTCACTTATCTGCCTTCAATGATGAACAGATAACACAGGCTCCTCTTCTTCATCCTCCGTTGAAATCAGCGTACCAAGTTTTGAGGTTCATCACGTGGAAACATCTGCCGTACATGCATTCAGTGGATGTGTTACAGTCATCTTTGTACTCATGCTTAAACATGGTTCGTCATTCACCGCTCTTTATTCATTTATTCAACAAAATATCAAATTTAGACTTTATGAATATTCCAAGGTCTGTCATATGAAATTATTTGATGCCATCAACTCTTACACTTTTTTCCAGAGAAGGGTCGGCAGTCCATACTGCCGGTGTTATACGGACCACTGGACATTACGAAGATGCAAAACAAGTCATTTTTCTGCAAAAACACCAGCAACACGAACACTGCAACAAAAAGTGGAAATACACTTCTTCCTACATTCACTTTACCATCTGAAGCCTCAACAATTCATTCTACTGCTTCATCACGTATTGCCAACAATGTAACGAAAAGTTCCAACAACTTTAATGTTAGGAAGAACATTGATGACGCTAGCAACGTTGATGCGGGCAGCGACCATCCGCCATCAACCACATTAAATAACAGCGAAGATCTGCTGTCGTTTTCATGTCAGATTCAAAAAAATACTAACAGGATTGAAGGTTGGTAGCGTTTGGGTTGATTTTCAATATTTCATCTAATTTATTTATTCAACTTTTACGTTAAAGCACCTGGTGGCGTTTTTGTTCGGCTGTTGGGCATGTCTTTATTATTTGACCCTGTTATTTTTGATTGGTTGGCCTACATTCCCAGAGAGGTCAAAGTTGAAAACAATCAGTTCGAATATGAACGTTACTAAGTGTTGGCTGACTCAAACCACGTCCTTTGCACTGATCCAACTTAACCAACCGTTTCTTTCCAAATACGGTTGGCAATCTATTTATTATTGGACTTTTTTCGTCATTTTTTGGATGTCCACTTTTTCCTTTAAAAAAATTGTTGTAATTCCTGTTGAGACACTTTGCATGAAAATTCACTGACTAACTATTTACTTGCATCTAACCACAGCAGCCCATTACACAACTTTTCACTTGTTTTAGAAATAGTTCAGATACATAAAGTATCAGGGAGATTTTAATAAATAAGTTGAACTTGCAGGTTCAGAATCAGCGACGAGAACAAGTAGTGACCACCATCGTCACAACGGCAGCAGTAGGCTCTACCTGACACAACATCATTTCATTATTGGCAATCAACTCTCCGGCACTGAACTGTCGACACACAACCTCTCAAGCGGACAGTCACCACCAGCTCCCTGCACCACAAAGAATGATGGTGATGAAATTCATGCAGGTGATCGTTCGGATAATGTTGAGGAAAAGACCATGATTAATGTCTGGAAGAAGTTTTTCTTTGATATTCATCCTTTGCTCAGGGTGTTGGAAGTTGAAGTGAATAAATTCTATTTGTTTTTAAAACATATTTTCATGTTAAATAATAATTGTATTATTATAAAAGATTTAAGATTTATTTGAAACAATAACTAATTTTGTCCAAATGATTTGATCTTACCAACAGATTCGTATATCTCCATGTTGTGTCTTCACGCCGCTTCACGCCAGCCAGCCGACGTCAGCTCCATCCATCGACATCCCACTGATGATGCACTCCATGTTCACTCACGAGTCACTCCCTGATACTTTTGTCTTCATCCTGCCATCTATCGAACTGACCAGCTTCAACGCAAAGGAACATTCCAGTCTGCCTGGCATTCCGGTCAAGTGG